GCGAAGACAGTCACAAATGTCACTTTACTAACACTTGGAAAATAACTAATTGTTCAATGTAGAATGTTTTATTGCCACCAAACATCAAGAATTCTCAACTAAGGGCCAATGTTATGTAATAGCAACTGTCTGTGACACCAGCATTCCATATGCGTGCCCCTTTGAGGCCTGGCTGCTGCACTTCCAGTCCAGGTCCTTCTAACGTGCCTGGGAAAGCAGCAGAGCACGGCACAAGACTTTGAGCCTTTGTACCTATACGTGTGACCCTGAAGAAGCTCCTGAATCCTGGCTTTGGACTGGCCCAGCTCGAGCTGGGAAAAATAAAATAGACTAAAAAGATTAAAACTAAAAGAAAGAGCTGATTATTTGAAAAGATGAACAAAATTGACACACCTTTAGCTGTATCGATCAAGGGGGAAAAAAACAGAGAAGTCTCAAATTAACAAAATCATTTTGTCCATTTTTTGAAAAAGAACGATTACATGCCATAAACTCTGATAACCTAAAGTAAATGTTCAAATTCCTGGCCACACTTCACTTAGCAGACCTGAATTAGGAAGGAATATAACACCTAAATAGAGCAACAAGTAGTGAGATTCAATCAGTACTAAGTCTCCAGGACTAGATGGTTTCACTGCTAAATTACATCAAATATTTAAAGACAACACAAGCTCTCTTAAATTATTCCCCTAAAAGAAAGCAGTTATTTTTACTTGCTTTCTTTTTTTTTTAATATAAACTGGATAATGAAGTTCAGTTACACTCCAGCATAACTGAACTGAAAGCTGTGAAAAAAAAATTTTTTAAAGATTTATTTATTTTTATTGGAATTTCATATTTACAGAGAGAAGGAGAGACAGAAAGAGAGATCTTCTGCCCACTGGTTCACTCCCCAAGTAGCTGCAATAGCTGGAGTTGAACCAATCCAAAGCCAGGAGCCCAGAGCTTCTTCCCAGGTCTCCCCATGAGGATGCAGAGTCTCAAGGCTTTGAGTCATCCTCGACTTCTTTCCCAGGGTACAAACAGGGAGCTTAATGGGAAGTGGGGCGGCTGAGATATGAACCAGCACCCATATGAGATTGCTAATGGGCTGGACCCACGAAAATGTTTCAAAACCATTCTAGGACAACATTACCTTGACACCAAACCCAGACAAGGACACAATGGAAAAACAAAGCAACAAGCTAACCTCCTTAATAAACAGATACTAACATGCTCAACAAAACACTCATATGTCAAATCCAATAGCACACTAAAACATGAATCACCATGATCAAGTGGGATTTATCTCATGGATGCAAGGATGACTTAGCCACAAGGATGACTTAGCCACATAAATTAATAAATGTGATACATCACACAACAATAAAATGAAGCACATTAGTCATGATCATCTCAAAAGATGCATGAAAAGCATTTCATAAAGTTTAACATTTTTCATGAAAAAAACATGAAGGAACCATTTGGTATGGAAGGGATATATATACATAATATGATAAAAGGCTTCTATAACCAGTCAATGGGTCACATTACATGGAATGGGGACAAGATTAAGGCTTTCCCTCTTGGGGAACAAGTCAAGCATGTCCACTTTGATCTCTTTTATTCAACTTAGGACTGGAAGACAAAGTCAGAGCAAGTAGGCAAGAGAAATTAAGAGTACTTAAATTGGCAAAAAGAAAGACACGTTGTCACTTTGTGTAGGACATGTTCTTACATATAGAAAAATCCCAAGACTTTTAAAAAAACCTTCATTATAACCAAGTTTTAATAATTAGGAAATTAGCAATACATAATGTTAAAGTGGCCACATCTTAATCAATATACAGTATTGTCTGCAAGGTTTCTGTTTGGTTGTTTTTGTTTGTTTTTTTAGTCTTTTTTAAAAAATGTTAGCCATTCTAATGAGTATGTAGTGGCATCATAGTGTGGTTTTTGTTTTCCTGTCTCTGATGACTGACAATACTGAGCATCATCTCATGTGTCATTTGGTCATGAATCTATCATTCATCGAATGCTTATTAAACTGGCCATTTTATTTTATAATTCAGCTTTAGAAGCTATTTATAAATTTCAGATATCAGTCTTCTTGCAGGCATATGTATTGAAATATTTTCTTCCAAACTGCTGATGGCTCTCTTGTATTTACAGAGCAGAAATTTTGAAATTTGGATAAAGCATGATTTTTTGAATTATGCTTTTTTCTTCCTATATAAGAAACCTTTGACAACCCAAAACCACAAAATTTTCTCCCATTTTACTGCAGATGTTTTATATTTTTAGCTTTGAAATTTGGGTCTATGATTCATTTTGAGCTAATTTTTGTATAGTTTTTGGTCAGATTCTAGGCTCAATGTTTTCCCAAATAGAACAACCATAGTTACAGAAGCATATGCTGAAAAATGACCATTCCAGGGGCCATGTGGTGGCACATCAGATCAATCCTCTGCCCTGCGGTGTTAGCACCCCACATGGATGTTAGTTCAAGTCCTGGCTGCTCCACTTTCAGTCCAGTTCTATGCTTATGAAAGTGGTGGATGGCCCATGTCCTTGGGCCCCTTATTGATATGGGAGACCCAGAAGCAGCTCCTGGATCCTGGCTTCAGATCAGTTCAGCTCTGGTCATCACAGCCATTTGGGGAATGAACCAGCAGATGGAAGATCTCTTTCTTTCTCTCTGTAAAATCTACTTTTCAAATGAAAATAAATAAATCTTTTTTTAAAAAAACAAAAAACCTATTCTTTCCTCCTTGAGTTGGTCACCTCAATAGTTTTGACCAAAGTAATCAACCATGTAAACCTATTGTCAAATTTTTTTGCTGTGTGTTATTAATCTTTATGTTTATTATCTGTGGTCATATTTTTAAACTATAGCATGCACACAGGCAGTTCATTGTGGCTGCATGCTTTCATAATGCCATGCACTAAATTCCTCAGGCACAAATATCATCACCCGGCCAAGGTTTCTGGGACAGAAAACTGGTGCTGGCTCACAGTTCTAAATTCTCCCTCCCTCAGATAAAAACAAAGTGGTTGTACAAGTAACTTCAAAAATGAGTTAGGCAGAGAAGATAAGAGTGAAGAAAAGATATGTGCTATCTTTTGGCTAAGGTTCTAGGTATTCAAGCAAACTAAGATGAAAAACACAAGGTGGGGTGAGCCATCAGTAATGGCACAGTGGGTTAGGTCACCACTTGAGAAACCCACATCTGAATTCAGAGTCCCTGGGTTCACGTCCTGCTTCCCCTTCCAATCCAGCTTCCTGCTAGAGTTCCTGGGAAGACAGAAAATGATGGCTCAAGTAGAAACACATGAAGATTTTAAATAGAGTTCCTAGCTTGCTGGCTGGCTGTCTGTCACTCTTGATCTGTCTTTCAAATATAAACACACAAAAGCAAAATCAGGTGAATTTCAAGGACATAGCACCAGACTTAAGGGACAAATTGTGACCCTTACAAAGATTGTAAAGTGGAGACAGTTCTCATTTATAATATTGCGACATGACAATGGACATTGGGTCAAAAAAGAATGCCCTCTGTAAGTTTGTCACCATGCCTCTTAAGGATACTATAAATTGCTTTGCTCTCAGAAGAACAGATTACTTTATGATATTTTCTTTTCTTTTCTTTTCTTTTCTTTTCTCTCTTTCTTTTTTTCTTTCTTTCTTTTTTTTTTTTTTTTTTGCAAAGCACCAATTTAAATGTTTGTAATTTGTCAGAAGTAAGGTTTGGATAAGAAATTACATCACAGTTTTTCTGTTTCTCAAAACTAACTTTGCTTCAGGAATGCCTGATTTATTAGAAGTTAGAACCATTTTGCCAAACCAATAGTTCATCTGCAGTTCAGATCTCTAGAAACGATGATAAGATTTAATGTTAATACTTCATTGATTGCTTCCTTGGGGTCTGCTTGTAAAGACAGTAATCCAGTGAAAACAGCTAGCAATGCATACAGATATGTCTACAACTTTAAAAAACATGTATTTTTTTTTAAAGACTGATGTAAAATGTGGTATAAAACGTTTAGTAATTGCTCATACCAGATTCTTTGTGGTTTCGCCAGAAACAGCATATTTGGGTTTCTCTGTCCTAGACACTTTCCAACCTCTGTTTCTCCATCATTCAACATGGCAAGGCTAACAGAAAAATCAAGGTCAGATGAGGAAAAACGGCAAACGGTTTCTATCTGGTTTCACTCTTGGACCACCAACTGGCAAACATTGTCAGAAAAACTACACCCAAGACAAATGATACGGCAAAAGCACATTTTTTGACGATGGGCCCAGGCTGTAGTAAAAGAAGCAGGCCTAAGATTTATAGGAAATGATGTGGGAATGAATTCAAAGTGTGGAGGACTCGCGAATTGTTTTGCCATTTGACTTTAAAACTTCATGCTTTGAAAAAATATATGGTGGTAATTTTTTTTGTCCTTCTTTTGTCCTGTTTTACCCATCAGTCCCAAAGTACTAAGGAACACCAAGTATCTAAACACTTAACCAGAAACGCAGGTCACAGAAATCATTCGTACTTGACATAGAGCCCTCACAGAGAGAGGTCTGTAGACACTGTATCAAACTGTTCATTCTTGGATGACGGTTACTGATGAGAAAACCTCTCCCACCCAGTCAACGAGTATCTGTCTGCTTCAGTTCCCTTCTCTTATTATGTGTGATGAGTATATAACACGACATGGTTCAAAACACGTGCGATTAGTTATCCAAGAATTCAACAACGCCAAGCAGGTGACCTTACTAATAGAGCGAAGGCGGAAGAGAGCTTGCCTCCGTCTTCCCCTCACAAACGAGGCTGTATTTGGCAGATGCAGGGGTTCCGGTGACGTATGAAACTGTCTTGAAGCAGACAATGGGAAAGAAGGCAGTGCAGCGAAGACGCCTGTGTGCGGACAGAATTAGCCTGGTGGGAAATGGGCGGCAGTCGGCGCTCCGCCCGGACGCTTTGCCTGAGGCGGCCACCAGGTGGCGCGCTCAGCACGACGTCGCTCGCGGTGAGGACGCCGGTCGCCGTGGAAACCGAGGGCGTCGCTGCGGCGGAGCAGGTTGTCCTGGCCCGAGGCAGGGACAGTGGTGCGCGCAGTGGGCCCACGGCCGGGTGTCCGCGCCTGGAAGTGGTCCACGGGATGTGGGGAAACCAGCTGGCCCCCTCGCCGGTCCCCTGACTCCTTCCTAGCTGACCCTGTAGAGTGTCAGCCTCCCCATCTTCTCCGCCTGGGGTTTGGCCCCAGAGAGGTCCAGGGTCCAGCCCCTTGGTTTCCTCACCCATTAGGGGCTCCCGGGTGGGGTCTCACTTAGAGTTATCCCCTTTTAACCACCCACAGGGAGCGGCGCAGACTTTTTAAAAACTGAACAAAATGTGAACCCATGTCTCTCTTTCAGCTTTGCAGTGGAAACTTTGGATGGCTGCTTGCCTGTCTTAGAGTACCTGCCCTAGGAGGGTACACTCTGGTGTGACTAAGGTTTGTGGCCTTCCTGTCACCCTCACATGGTCCCGGTCCGTAGCACATTGATGCCCTGGCCCCTCTTATCTGCGGGAAAGGGAGGGTTTCTGGTGTCAACTGCTGGTTGGAAAATAATTCAAAATTCCAGTGAGAAAAATTCAAAATACGCCATTTTTAAAGTTATAAAAATGACTTATTAGAGTATGTTGTTAAAGTTCTATTAGTGATGGACAAATGTGTGCCTAATTTTAGAGGAGATTTTATTATAGGTGTGAGTGTGTAAGAAGTGCAGTACTGAACATATTTATTTTTATTGGAAAGTCAGATATACATAGAGGAGTAGAGGCAGAGAGGAAGGTCTTCTGTCCATTGATTCCCTCCCCAAGCAGCCGCAATAGCCGGAGCTGCACCGATGCAAAGCCAGGAGCCAGGATCCTCTCCCTGGCCTTCCATGCAGTTGCAGGGTTCCAGTAGGGCTGTCCTCTACTACCTTCCCAGGCCACAAGCAGGGAGCTGGATGGGAAGTAAGGCTGCTGGGATTAGAACTGGTACCCGTATAGGATCACAGCGCATGCAAGGTGAGGACTTTAACTGCAAGAGGCTACCGTGCTGGGCCCAGTACTATATGGGTTTTCAGGCAGTCTCTGGGGTGCCTGAGGAAGACAGGGCTCTACTGCAATGCCTGCATTTGTAGGGGACTTGATTGTTTCAGTTTCCCCAAACCCTGAAGCCTCTATAATAACCCTGACAGTAAGAAGGAGGGAGGAAGAAAGCCTCGTGGAGTTTTAGGTCTCTGTGGAGGAGCTAGGCTTGTCTAGATCTTGCTCCTCTGAGCACTTTTCTGAATTCCCAGCTATTGATTGCATGTCCTTGTCAGCACAGTGCCTCTCCACGGTGGGCACCTCACGCATGCTCTGTGAGCTCTGTGGCTTTTCTCCCTCGCTTACAGCTGCAAGGTGTATTCAACACCCTGGCCTGGGTGCTCCTGGGCCTTCTGAAGGGAACCCTTGGTAGTTTGTTGTAGGGATTTGTTTGGGGTGTGTGTGTGTTTTGTCTCCTACACCTCTTTCCCCATAAAAGTTCCACTGGGCAGAGAAGGAGTTCAGGAAGTGGTAGGAGATGGAGGAGATGCCCCACTAAGCCTAAAAAGAAAGAGGATTCCTGCGAAGGCCGAGAGAGAACACAATACAATACGAGGCTCTTTGTTCGCGTGAGGTGGCTGCCCCTAGACTCACTGGCAGCCACCTGCGGGGCCCGGCTCCTGCTGACCGGCCGTGAGTGAATACACTGCTGCTCTGGGAAGCGAGCAAGAAAAGCCTTTTTGTTCTCCTTCGCCATCAGAATACAAAAGTATTGCGAGTGTGCTCATAGTTATATTTCTTCTCTCTTTTAACATTTCTAACGTTGGAGGACAGCAAGAGTTGGAAGAAGCATAGTTCTGATTACTAGAGAAGTTCATTTAATAGGTTGCATTTTAAACGATTAGTAATTCTGGATCACAAGATTGGCCCACGTGAAAGCTAAGGAACCAGTATAACTTGGGAACTACAGTACAGAGGTGTACCATGGGCTGCAAGATTCGCATTGCTAAAGAGAATGCATGCTAATATGGTGGCCATCATCAAGGGTAGAAATACATTCATCCAGGTATTTAAACATACCTGGATCTGAATGTATGATTTTATCACAGCTGCAAACTGGATGAATTTTATATGTAACACCAGCTGTTTGGGAGCGATACATACATATATTTATTTATATATGCATACATATATTTCCCTGTCAATATATCCCATGAAAATTCACTAAATTTTCAGCTATGTTGTTACTACTGGAAGGCTTCAAATGCATTGTCTCTTTGTAACTTGCTGGAGAGCATTTTTAGGTTAAAAATGTTTTGGTGTCAGTGAAAGTTTTGAGTTTAACTGTAAGTTTACTTTCCAAACCAAGGAAATTTGAGCAGATAAGCAGGGACACTGGTAAAGGTGACGAGTGTGCGTGGCTTTCAGGCCATTTAGCGAAGCATCTATGGAGCATCTAGCTTCCGTCCCTGGGAGATCCACGTGTGCTCTCAGCATCCGCCTCTGAATTCTCAATGATGCGTGTTTGCTGAAGTAGCTGTTATTCAGCATTAAACCATTTACATTTTTCTGAAGATGAGTGTCATGAATGTTTTTGAATATATATGTATCTCAGCTATTCAAGTGAAACTATAGTGAGGCCTGTGTCTTTAAAGTTAGATTGTTTTTTACAAGTATTACAACTCCGATTCCATCTAGTCTAGGCTTGTGCAAGGCTATGTAGTCAATATGGCTTAGCCTACAGTGGACCCCATAACTCCCAACACTCATACAGAGAAGTTTTAACTACCTCATATTCTTGTCCCTTGATGGAACCTTATCCAGAACTTTTTTAAAAAAAAACACTATTGATTATTTTTACTGTTGATGATTTTTACATAGTTGTTTAGGGTGATAAGAGTCAAAGGCTATAGGAAGGTGGGTGAGATCACTATTTCCACATTGTTTTTTTCCTTCCTGTATCTGGGCGGAGGGGGAAGACAAGGAAAGAAGCCACACCCAACCTCCCAAATGCCTCTGCACCCTGGGATGGAGGACAGCTACCCAATACCATCCCAGGGTCCCCGATGTGGGGCATGCTCAGAGGATCCTGCTCCTGAGGTTTCAATAGCAGAACCTTTTTTTTTTTTTTTAATAATTATCATTTATTTATGTGAGAGGCATAAAGATAATTATCCATGTACTGATTTAATTCCCAAATGGCCACAAATGGCAGGGCTGGGCCTCCAGCACCCTTTCCAGACCCTATTTCCATGTGCGTGGCAAGGGTCTGCGTTGGTGGGCCATATTCTTCTTTTCCAGGCATGTTAACAGGGAACCGGATCAGAGGCAGAGCCACCAGAAGTCAAATGAGCATTCTGACCTGGGATGCCAACGTCACAAACTGGCGTCTTAACTCACTGAGACAAAACAGCCTCTTATTCTGATCTTGAGTCATTATTAGTAATACCAGATAAATGCTTCTGCTTTAATATACATTTACATAAAACATTTGGTAATGAGCAGAATTGCCATTCCTCCCTGATTCCACATAGCATGGAGGGCGGAAGCAGCCTCTGGTTCCCTGTTACTCCAGAGAAGTCAGAGGAGGTATTGGGAGCTCTCTAGATACTGAACCTGGTCCTAAGCATGGATCCGCAGGGATAGACTCTGCTGTGTGGGTAATTTTGCAGTCAAATCACCATGAGAAGCGTTGGTGCGATAGTTCAACTCATCTTCCTTCTTGCAATACTCGCATTCTATATGGATGCTGACTTGTGTTCCAGCTGTTCCACTTCCCATCCAGCTCCCTGCTTATAGCCTGGGAAAGCAGTAGGGGATGGCCCAAAACCTTGGGACCCTGAACCCAAGTAGGAAAGCCAGAAGAGGCGCCTGGCTTCGGATTGGAGCAGCTCTAGCTGTTACAGCCATTTGAGGAGTGAACTAGTGGACAGAAGATCTTTCTTTCTGTCTCTCCCCTCTGTGAATCTGCCTTTCCAAGAAAAATAAATAAACCTTTAAAAAAATCACTATGGGATAACAGCACATTTAAAGATTATAATATATGTATCCCTTTTACTAAGTAGACTTCTTTTCACTGAGAAGTATTTGGGGAACATTTTGGAAACATTTTTAGAAAGTGGTTTTGGAGTAGATCTGGAATTGCTGGACACCTGCAATCTTTCCAACCCTGGTTGCTCAGTGCCCTCATCCCGTGATGTAGGTCTTGAGCACCCAAAGAGAGTTGAGAACAAAACACAAACATCTTTTTAGAATTGCTCCCTTTGAAAAAGTGCTACAGAATGATCCTTTGTTATAAATAGGGATCTTGTCTCTTCTATGTTCTGTAACTGAAGGCCGGGTGAATCAGCATGCGCAGAACAGGCATCAGGTATTTGCAGTGACAGGTTGGCTGCCCCTTGGTCAGGGATTATCATACTGTAACCTTCTAGTGTCATAATAACATTTGCTTGTGAATATATATGCATATATTTAGAATTTTCACCGTTTCCTGACACATGAAAGCTTTGGTAGAGGTCGGAACTGTAGATCTGTGAATGCCCATAAATGTCCCTATTCTTTACAGGCCATTATCAAACACAAAAGCACATGTTGAGGTACTCTAATTAGCTCACTGCAAAAATCCAGCTGTCAGGCCAGCCATCGAATTGGCTTACTCATTTTCTTGAGAGCGTCTGAAACAATGAATCTGAATATAGTCTATGCGTAAATCATTTATGCTTTAATGGATCCACATTTTCCCTCATGTTTTATTGAAGTCCTGTGCTATAAGCTGGAGTTAGGAAGCCAATTATGCGTTAGTCAGAGTTAAGAAGAGCCAGGTAACTGAGGTAATTGAGCAAGATGAGATCCTTTTTCCACTAACGCCACATGGGTACCACAGGTGGAGACCATAACACTCGATCTCGTCCCTATTTCTCAGAGATTAGGGTTGACATCTGACTTAATTTTAAGTAAGATCTTATAACACAATCATTATTAAGTAGGAGATTATTCTTGCAAAAGAAAACATTTATCAGCATGCTATTTTTTTTTCTACAACAGCTGAGTTAAAAATTCTAATCCTAAAGTAGAAAATAATGTGAAAATCTGCCTCCACATCTGACACAAAAGAGCGATTTTTTCTTAGCTGGTAATTTTCTGTGAGCTGTGATGTAAAAATGATGACAGGCTTTGTTATGGAGCTTGATGAATTATTCTCAATGCTTTCATACTTAAGAAGACTCCGCTACCCTGGCTTCACTTATGAGATCTTTTTGTTTTGTCACCTGTGTGCTTTTCAGCTGAAAAGTATTTGCATTCGTATATACTTGAATTTATTTGCATTCAGAGATGCGCTCACTTGGCTACAAACATCTCAGACACAAAGAGATCTGGATGCATGAGTAGCATGTTTGTAGAGAAATACATTTTCATTTCAGTGAGCATTTCCACTGTGGATCTGAGTGGCCAAAGTAGATTCACATAAATTGCCAACTGAGTGATCCAAATTAACAACGAAGGCTTTCAATAGCAAATCCCATGGCCTGGTGCTGCCACAGATGGTACTTGGCAGCAGGCAGACATTCTCTGCTTTATAGTTACCTGGAATTTGAAGAAGCATGATTTGCAATTATAATGGAAGAGAAAGAGGAACACTCCTAATGTGAGTTCTATATGTCAGTCCCTATGCTAGAAACGTTGCATATTAGCTTATTTAATGTTTCACAATAGCTCTTAGTAAAAGATTGTTACAGTTCCTACCTTACAGCTGATGAACACACAGTTCAAAAGGGCTAAGCAAATCAAAAGTGTAAACAAGACAGGCCACCTCAAGAAGTCAAATTGTCTACCAGTGAAGAACTCAAGCTCACACAGAAAACAGGTGGTGGACCTAAAATTAAAACACATGGCTGCCTAATTCAGTCATTCACTAATATATTCACTCACCCTGGATTTATCATGTATCCATTTTGCTGGGTTTTGGAAACTCAGTAATACACAATAATGACATCACCCCCACAGCCATTTAAGCAAGTAATTACAAAGGTAGAAACGTTCTTTCGACCAACCCAAACCAGAAACACACTGACTGACAAGCACTTATTTTGAGATTAGTGGAAATTAAAATATAAAAATCTATTAAATAAAACCGCTTTCTGAAAAGCAAACCTTTGTATTGAAATCAAATCCATGAAGTATATCTGCTTACTACAAACATCTGTGGGCAGTATGTTCTGATTTTCCCTTTTAGAGATTTCGTTGATATGCTATTAGGGTCAAAGGAATGAAAAGCTTATGAAAGTATTGTTAATAATAATATGACATTACTATCATTGTAAATCTCCAATCCATTTTAAAAGACACATCAATGTTTGTTTTTATTTACTTTTGATAACAACACTGGCCAAATCTAATTCCTTAGATCCTAGTTCTAATTTTTTTTTTTTTTTTTGTATCCTGGCTTCTTGGTGCATATAGAATATTTTGGCTTGGTTTGGTTCTAAGCACTAAAAACTGAATAGACATTTATTGAGCTGCTGGTATGTGTACTTCACTTTATCAAACTCCGTGAAGAAATAAAAAGATTGAAAAGTGCCTTCGAGGAGTTTGGTAGGGACAGTGGAGGTAGACCAGTACCATGAGAGTTGAGCTGTCAGACTGCTTTGGATGGAAGGAATGCTGCAGCAGGGCTCGACAGGCAACTCACCAGACTGAAAAATCCAATTGATTCAGGATGTTCCAGCATTGTGGTGGATGTTTAATATCAGAACATGGAAGCAGTCAGGATAGAAACACAAGTTTTGAATTAAACCCCAGGGGTGCCTAAGCTACGCACAAGTAGACTGACAATAGAGAACGTATTCACTTTTGCCATGTCTCTTTTCTAAACAGGTATATCTCTCATAGTGAACCAGCACAATGGAAAACACAGGGAAGACAAATAAAAAAGACACACAAGATAAGCCAAAAGAAAACAAACTGCCTACAAGTGAAGCCCTTCTAGACTATCAGTAAGTGTGTGTTCTTTTTGTTTTGTTTCCAAGAAATTCCTCTACACATTTTTTTCTGTCGTGCATTACATGATCCTTTGTTTAGAATTCTCACAGTACTCTTATTTCTGTAATTATTTATAGAAGCAGGGCCAAAGCACAGGGAAAGTTGCACAGCTCTGAGGTCAATACTCCCTGCATTCAGCGGGGAGGGATATCCACCAGGTCTGACACTCTTTCCTGGGTGCTTTCCATGTATTATTCAGTTTATTTTGCGCTCAGAGCAAGAGTTTGACCCATTACAACTTGTAGTGATCTTTAAACGAGATCCTCAAGGCAGAACTCTGACTCCACGCTAAGGTATCCAGTGCAGGGGAAGTCCCTTAGCCTCCCTGTACTTCAGCTGTAAAAGCTATGAAAGCAGACACCAGTGTTGTGGCACAGCAGGTAGTGCTGTCACCTGTGACATAGGGATTCCACATGGGCACCAGTTCAAGTCCCAGAAGTTCCACACCCAGTCTAGTTCCAAGCTTACAGAAGAAGCAGCTTCTGGATTCTGGCTTCAAGTCAGATCAGCTCCAGCCATTGTGGTTATTTGGGGAGTGAACCAGTGGATGGAAGACTAACCTCTCTCTCTCTCTCTCCTTCTCTCTGTGTAATTCTGCTTTTCAAGTAAGAATAAAACAAATCTGAATAGCTGCATTTGTTTTTATGAAAGACAAAGGTATATACACACACACACAGGGAGAGATCCTCCGTCTTCTAGTTCACTCCCCAAATGACAGCAATGGCCAGAGCTGGGCCAGGCCTAAGCTAGGAGCCTCATCCGGGTCTGCCAAGTTATGCAGGGGTCCAAGTACTTGAGTCATATTCCATCACCTTCTCAGGCACATTAGGAGAGAGCTGAGTAAGAATTGGAGCATCCAGGACTCTAATCAGTATCCACTTGAGATGTTGTTGAAATAGACAGTAGCTTAATGCACTATGCCACAATGCTGGTCCCCCTTTTCTCTTCTTTGACATTATTTTGTGTTTGGAGACTTGGAGCTTCTTTCTTCTATTTGTTCATGCAACATATACTAAGAGACTGTGAATCATAGTCTTCTGCATTACCCTGTGTAGCACCTGGACTTACGCTTTCCACCTGACTCTGGCCTACATATGACTTTTTATACCATATGTAAACGGAATCATTGTTAAGACTCACCATAATTCCAGAAGGAGATGATGCACCCAACAGGTACCAGAAGAACAGAGCGGAGTTGGAGACATAAATACACCCTTCTTCTCAGTGCGTATTTTTAAGGTTTTTTGAAACTGACTATAGCATAGTGTAGCAGTGGATATGAAATAACTTCATTGTTGTGGTTTGGGCTGAAACCCTTTGCATTTTTGGTCACCTCTCCATCCCCCATATGACAGTTTTCTGACCTAACCTCTTAAAATACTACAGAATGATTAGTGGTCGTTTGTAGAAGAAAAGATAAGGAAATATCCTTAACTTTCCAACTTACATTATTTCTAAGTGGCTACACATCAAATTCAAGTGATTCAGAGACAATTATACTTAATGTTAAGAACTTGGAGGCAAAGCTAAACATGACACCTGTTCTGTGCTTATGTTTTATTCCAATTAATAAATAATAAACCCATTGATGAGAGCACTGGGTCGGTTTTTGAGTGCATAATGTTTTGAAAACAGCTCAATGCTAGCCTTTTCCCAAATAAGACTGAAATTTACTCATTCAACAAGTACTTGAGTGTTTACCAACTGAGACAAATACTGGATATTGGAGTACAGCAGTGAACAGGAAAACATGATCCCTGCCCTGATGAAGCAGAAGTGAGACATTAAATGACAAACTCAAGCTTTTTGTAAAAAAAAAAAAAAAAAACTATGTATATATAATGAAAGTAGTATGAAAGAGAAGGATGTTATAAAATGGTGAAACCAAAGGGCTTGGCGTAGTCAGAGGCATTAGGTAGAGATGGAGGACGCCATGTTTGGGCTGATCTTGGGAAGAACAGGTTTGAGTGGTGGAGAGAAGTCCTTCTGGGAGAAAGAGACTAGGATCGGAAGCAGCTTACCACGGCCAAGGAAGCAGGAGAGAGAATAACGGACACTGAGCAGGAACACCCGCTGTTGGTTTAGTCAAAGGTCACACCAAACGGAACACTTGAGGTCTGGAAATGGGGAGCCATTTATTGGAAGAGCACAAGGCTGGAATGATGTCAGTGACTAAATTTTTTAAAAAAGATTTATTTATTTTTATTGGAAAGTTAGATACACAGAGACAGAGAGGGAGAACCTCTGTCTGCTGACTCGCTCCCCAAGCGACTACAACGGTCACACTGATCCAAAACCAGGAACCAGGAGCCTCCTCTGGGTCTCAAGGCTTTGGGCCGTCCTCGACTGCTTTCCCAGGCCATAAGCAGGGGGCTGGATGGGAAGCAGGGCTGCCGGGATTAGAACTGGTGCCCATGTGGGATCCTGGCTCATGCAAGATGAGGACCTAAGCTGCTAGGCTACCACGCAGGGGCCCAGTGACTAAATCTTTAAAAGAATCATTATAAACCACATCCTGGGAAGATCTATATCTTTTCAGAGACCCCAAACATATACATATAGCTTGGGGGGATTTGTTTCATTTATTATTTAATCAGAAATGCTTTTTATTTATTTATTTTACCAGAGGGCTGTGGATTAAAGGGCCATAATACTAATATTCGCTGGAAACAGCTTTTAACAATTTTCTCGTATTTTCTACTTGAGATAACACTAAATAATAACTAAGCACTATTCACATGAATTTCTCAACATAACTGAAAGTTTTTTCATATCCTTTGAGTAGAGGTGGACAGAAGGCAGGCTGTGAACGCAGCCTGGTCGTCAGTTTCCTCCCACGTTGACAGTGATGGCGTTCAATTCCAGCTGCTGCTCTCCCTCCTGGGTCAACCCCAGGCCAGTCCTCCTCCTCTCTCACAGCGGTTTGCAGAGGCAAGCATTTGCCATGCAAATCATTTCCCATGATCTAGTGCAACATAGAAGCTGAACATTCCCTGCCTTTGTCCTTGTCCCTTTGTTAACGATGAATAAATCCTCTCACGGCCTGGACCAGCAAAGGCCGTGCTGTGCCATACTCCATGAGTGATGATCTCCTGGCTCCCAGGAGACAGAATTTTTGTCACTTGACAAACAGCCCCAGCTATCCGCAGGAGGATTGTCCAGGGGTTCCTGATGGCATCTTGTATTTCTCTCATCCTATTTCAGTTTCTAACAGCCGTGAGTGCAGAGCAAGTACAAACAATTGGACTTTATAAAAAAAGAAAACTAAACAAAACAAAACAAAAAAAACCTTTGTCCCAAGACAATAAGGTCTTATGCTTCTATGATTGCACGTGACTTGACACACCAATGTTAAATATAAAATGATTAACTCTGAACAGTTGATTCTTTTCATTTTCTCCTTTATACTTGTTTTAACCCACTTTCTATAATCAGCATGAACAGATAAATAGGCATTTTTAATGAAATTGAGTGGGTAAGTCCGTATGCGGCTAACATTTAAATACACCAAAGAAGTAAGGAACAAGAAGGCATACTATTAGTAGTGGAATATCAGTGTGCTCTAGAAAAGTGCTGCATCTCTTTTAAACCATTTTAACATTTGTTGGTTTATCATTCCACTTGCTTTGCCCTTTAGTGTGACATATGGAATAACACTGGATGAAGTAGATGGAGAGATATGAAAAGAACATGTAGAGGACAATGAAGCCTGAATTCCCCCGCAGTGGTTTACAGTGAGGAGTTCCGAGGCTAAGGTTTATCTAGTTGCTGATAAATTCAGGTCTTCCTGAGGCGGGAGAAGGTTAGGCAGGTCCAGTTAAGGCCGGATTCTCTGTTAGGCCTGCAATGACCACGAGCTCCACAAGGGGGCCAGCAAAGCCGCCAGAACATGATTCTCTCCGGGGCCTGCTCACAGAAGGAACACAAAACAAAAGCTTGGACCTTTTGCTCCGAAATGCTGTAGTGGAGAGGTTGCGGCGGGGGGTGGAGGGAAGGCGGCGGGGTGGTAGGCTTAAGTGTGGGACTGACAGGTGTAGCAAGGAAAGCAGGTGGAGCCCAGCGTAGTAGCCTTGTGGCTAAATGCTAGCCTTACATGCGCCAGGATCCCATATAGGCACTGTTCCGAGTCCTGGACGCTCCACTTCCCATCCAGCTCCCTGCCTGCAGCCTGGGAAAACAATAGGGGATGGCACAAAGCCTTGGGACTCTGTACCCGCATAGGAGACCCAGAATCTCTTGCCTCGTGGCTTTGGATCGGCTCAGCTCCAACTGTTGAGGCCATTTGGGGGGATGGAAGATCTCTGTCTCTTTCTCTCTCTCTTTGTAACTCTTTCAAGTAAAAATAAATCTTATAAAATAAAAGCTCACAATATAAAAATAAAATAAGCTAGCAAACCCCTTAGTGGCAAAAATAAATAGATAAATAAATTAAAATTTTCAATAAGATCTTTTTGTATACTGTGACACTTGAACTTTAGTGCTTGCTTTCCGCTGAGTGCGTAAGGACGCCTGGCAAATGCAGGCCTGGGATTATTCCTCCTGTAAACAAGACTGAGAGCAGCTCTCTGGTTCCTTTTTGCTTGAAACATTCTGCCGTTAACATTGCACAGTGTGTATTTCCTGCAGTCACACACATGGTGTAGATTGAATGTTGTCGTCATTGAGGGGGTCTTGAATGAGATCTTTAGGATCCTTGCTCTCGAGTGCATTTTAGCAGATAGTAAGGAGATACACATGTCAGCATGGTTTACACATGGTGAGAAGTGCCAAGTAGGAAGCTATAGCATGTGAGGAGAGGGAACAGAAGTGACTGCTGTAGATAGCATGGGCTCTACACATCAGTAAGATGTAAGTGCCCCAGTAAGCAGAGAAATCCAGTGAGCTTAGCTGGAATTGGAGGAGCTGGAACTCCAGCCAGCACTTACATGGGATGCTGATGCAGCAAACAGAGGATGAGTCTGCCATCCTATCACATTGGCCAGATTATGTTGCGTGTGTGTGTGTGTGGAGGGAGGGTGTCATTTGGAAGGAGGGACTCTTATAGTCATTTTTCTCTGCTAAGTGTACTTACTCAATGTCACAAATATAAATGATATTTTCTGGAAGGGCTGAGCATAATATACAACTGTGACTTATGAGCACTTAATTATTCTAGAAGCACTTGCATATGATTTCTTTTTTTAATCCTCACAATACTATCTAGAGGTGGGTATTGCTATCTCCATCTGACAGCTTTGAAGTTTAGGCCCCCAAAACTGTCTTGTCTCAAGCAACTAAGAAGGTTGAGAACAGAGCTGGTGCAGTGCTATGGCACGCTGATCCTCCGCCTGCAGTGCCAGCATTCCATATCAGTGCTGTTTACGTTCCTGCTCTACTTCAATCTAGCTCTCTGTTTATGGCCTGGGAAGGAAGTAGAGAATGGCCCAAGTCCTTGGTCCCTACCATGTGGGATACTTAGAGAAATCTCCTGGCTCCAGGCTTCAGATTGGTTCAGCTCCAGCCAGTGTGACCATCTGGGGAGTTAACCAGTGGATGGAAACGCTCCCTGCGTTTCCCTTTCTCTCTGCAAATTTACCTGTCAACTAAAAATGAATAAATCTTTTAAAAACAAAAAGGTAAAGACAAGACTTAAAGCTGAATATTCCTTTCTTTAACCACTCTACTTTTACTACATGACAGATGGGGCCCAGCATCACAGTCTAGTGGTTAAATGCTAACCTTGCATGTGCCAGGATCTCATGTGGGCACTGATTTGTTTTTTTGTTTTGTATTTTTATTGAAGCAAAGGGTTTGGCAGACCTATTTCTGTTGGCTTATTTGCTCTCAGATTTGTTTATAAAATGTACTAAGTAATAGCAATATAGAGATATATGAATATTTCAAATAACGAACACATAGACCATAAAAAAGAGAGGAAGAGGCAGGAAAGACTGTCCATCTATTGGCTCACTCTCCAAATGCCTGCAACAGCAGGGCTGGGCCCAACTGAGGTTAGAAACCAGGAACAGCATCTAGGTCTCGCACATAGCTCACAGGAAGCCGTCATCAGCTGCCCCAAGGTGCATCAGCTGGAAACTAGATCCGAAGCTCAGAGTAGCCAGAACCCCAGCCAGGCACCCCGTCATGAGATGTTTTTCTTTCTCACTTATCTAACAGATGTCCATCAACTACTTGTTGAGTGTTAAGAAATATTTTTGTGTGAGGAAGGAAGCTTGACATATTCACAGAAGAAAGATGCACTAATGAACATGAGCCTAGGTCTGGAGTTTAAACAAGAGTGTTCACCCTTATAGCACCCTTGTTTTGAATGTTTTTAGAATTCTAGAAAATACATTTCAGTGCACCCATTCCTAAATTTCCTTTAAGTTGAATTATTTCTAGATAATTAGAAAGTATAAATATTGCACCAATAAAACATGAAAAGGTTGGTTTCTTTTAAAAAAAATAACTTGAAATTGCTTCTCCAATAGATATTTCAGTATATTTCAGTTAGTAAACTAGATTCAGAAACACAAATTATTTAAGAAATTCTCTCACCTCTAAATGGTTCTTGTCATATAATTAACAATCTATTTGAATTCATAGAGTGTTATGTTTAAACATTGTCTCATTAATTTTTCCCTAAATAATAATTTAGCACATATTATCTTTGTTCTTAGCTGTCAAATAAAGGAAAATGCAGTGGAGCGATTCATGTTTCAAATAAAAAAGCTTAGAGAAAGGAACCAAAAGTATCATGAAAGAGTAAGTATAAACTTGAGAGTATATAGTTATTAAACATTTACACACATACTTTGAAAGTTTGTAAGGTAAGTTAAGACACACTTTAGAGAATTATCTTCTTTAAAGCTTGAGAGTGATTGGTTTGCAATCCAGTTCATCTGTTTGTACTTGTACTCTTCCAATTATGCTAAGCATAAGGCCAAAGGGAGTCAGCCTCTATCATATTATTTGCAACATGAAGACAGTGGCTCTTGTATCCGTAATTTTAGAGCTTAGGAACTGCATTTATCTTTTAACTTCTTACTCTAGCCAAAGTGTCAAGCATTGTTCTCTATTTTTAATCTCTGTATCTGTCTATCTTAGATTATCAGAGAGTATGCTACATAAATATCACTTGAAAAGTACAGTCTTTATGGGCTAACTGGATATGTAACATGATATATTGATTTTACAAAATATGATTAAAATGCATATCAAAGGTGTATAATATAGGACCACAGAATTAAACATTCGCAGAAACACTTGTAAGGTTTGGAAGTAGTGAATGAAAATTAACACAATTTTCATCCTTCAAGACATCACATAGATGAGCAGATTCTGTGGGTGACCCTGTTAGTGCACCGGTTTGAGAGGGACCCTGACGTTTTCACAGTAAGGCGTTTTGTTTGAGGTTTGCCTAAAGAGACTATGTCTACACATTTTAATGGAGTCTACAGTCAGAGACCCAAGCTTGCACCCTAACCGTACAACTTTCTTATGCCATTTTGTCCAAAATTAATATAAGCTTCAATTTTCCTATGAAATTGGGATCCCTGTCTTTTCCAAAGGACTAATGTTCACTCATCCAGCCAATATTCACTGGGCGTAAAAGCCCTGGTGGTGATTTAACTATAACACTGACATTGTCATGATTCTCAGGGACCAGTCAACTTTTAATACAGACTAACAGAAAAACTGGGCCTGTGGATCAGAGTGAGAAGAAGTCTGCTCTCGAGACAATGGTGCAATCGCTGCATGGTATCACAGGAGGTAGAGAGTGGTGAGCCAGAAGCTGGGGCTACGGAGACCATGGTGGAAGTCTAACATAAGAACCCAGACCTGGAACTTGCTGGAGGGAGTGGCACAAGTGAGTGCAAACAAGGAGCTGTATACCAACTGCAATAAGTAAAATCGAATTGTAGACCTGTAAGTGACACAGCTTAGAAACCTACCCCAAGGAGAAGAATCTGATAACCAGAAGTGCAATGACTAGGAGCAAAAAAAGAGACAAAGGCACAATGAATATTACTGAAGATTCCCCTGCAAAGGAGCAAAAGCCTTTGCCAACCTCGGAGTTAACTTGTGAAGACATCAAGAAAATGGGGGAAACAGAATTCAAAACACTTGTTATAAAACTTCTTATCAACAAGGAGAAGCACATAGTACAGGAGTTCAAGAAATTTAAGGAATATGTCACACAGGAAATGGATGAAATGAAAGATGATTATCAGAAATTAAAAGTACAAAGGAGAGTTTCCAAAGTAGAAGGAAGAAAGCAGAAGAAAGAATCTCAGAATTGGAAGGTATTTCCTGTCACCAGGAGGAAACAAACAAAAAGCTGGAAGCAGAGCTGGGTCAAGCTAAAAAAAAAAAGTATTCAAGAACTTTTCAGAACTCTGCTAGAAGGCCAAATATAAGAATTATGGGAGTCCCAGAGGGTGCAGAAAGAGAAACTGGGATTAAAGGTGTATTTAATAAAACAATAAGGGGAAAATTCCTTAATCTAGAGAAAGAATTGAGAAACAATATCCAGGAGGGGCAGAACTCCCAACAGGGTTGAACAAAAGTGATCTTCACTGCGACACATGATATTCAAGCTCTCTTCACTTGAACATAAGGGAAAGATCCTTAAATGTGCACATGGAAAAAAATCAATTGACATATAAAAGAATGCAAGTTAAATTCATAGGAGACCTCTCACAGAAAACTCTACAGGCCAGAAGAGAATGGAGTGACATAGTCCAGATTCTAAAAGCAAAAAATTGACAGCCCAGGATAACATACCCAGCAAAGTTTTCCTGTGTCTTTAACAATGAAATAAAATTCTTCCACGGTAAAGAAAAGTTAAAACAATATGTCTCTTCCAAACCTGCCCTACAAACGATAAAGATGTTCTCTTGACAGAGAAGAGGAATAGCACTCACCAAAACCAAACGCAAATGTGAAGAACATCCCAATAACAAAACAACAGAAGATTAAATCAATGAACAACCTATTGCTAAAATGATGGGATCAAATTGCTACCCATTCATAATAACCCTGGGTATAAATGGATTAAATTCATCAATCAAGCATCATAGATTAGTAGACTGGATTAAAACAACAAAACCTAGGTTTCTGTTGCCTATAGAAGACATATGTCACCAACAAAGATCAGCAGAAACTATACCTCATGGACTTTATTTATTTACTTATTTTTATATAGTGTCATCTCTTCAAAACACTTTCTTCCTCATTAAATTATTCACTGACTCAGATCATACAGTATCGTCATTTTCTTCAAGAAGATTCTTGATTTTTTTTTTCATTTCTTCAATGACACATTAGATACATGCAGTAAGTAGCGTGTTATTTAATTTCATGGCATTATAAATTTCTATTTTTCTTCCTGTTGTTGATTTTGTATTGTGGCTTTTTATTTAAGGGGATTTATAGCAATTGTGTAATGGAGACAATCATATGCAGATCTGAGGATACAATGCAGTATGCGTCTCTACTTCCAGACTAAAGATGGACTCCCAATGAAACTGTTAACTATATTTTAACAATAGGATGCTGAGCTTTCTATAATTATCCATGCCCGCTCTGATGGACATATGACTGTTTATGAAGAACTGTACTATAGTAATAATATAGAGGAATCCATTGGCGGGGGAGAGGACTTGGTGAGGGAAAAAGGGAAATCCCAAGGCCTATGGAACTGTATCATAAAATGATGATAATAATTTTTTAAAGACAATAAAAACAAAACAAAACAAAAACAACAAACAAGTCTGCTCTAGCTCCTTGGCTACAGGAGCCACATGACAAAATTCGGAGCACTTGAGAGGAATAAGCAGCCATCAGGAGACCAAGGCACACCCTTATGTTCAACACAGGTCCTGCTAGGACAGGACCTGGTTGTGAAAAGCACAAGGAATCAGATCTGAATAAGCACCTTGGGTAGTATCCTGATGTTTGGTGCCCAAAACAGTTAAAGTTGTGGTTTCCATGAGGATTAGCACAAGACTGAGACATACCTGTGTGTGTGATAGTGGACCCACCTGTGAGGAGCCTGAAGAGACAGATCCCAGCTGCTGGCGCATGCCTCTGCACAGCAAACATCCCTTTCCATTTACGCTGACTCTGCCCTAATTCAAGCTGCCAGTACTTCTGGTCCATCTTCCCTCTCTCCAGTACAGTCTCCACACAGCAACCAGCTTGCCGTTTGAGTGTTCTAGTTGTCAGTGTCTGACCTTTCACTGGCTTCCTACTGGACATACAAAAAAAAAAAAATCCATAATCCTTGCAAAAGGCTTCAGGACACCCCTCCCCTCTCCAGCCATCCCCCAGCCATCCCACCCTTTTACTTACTACCAGCTCCTTTGACCAGATGATGGCTGGAGTGCTTGTGTTCTTGTTATTCACATGGGTGACCCAGATCGAGTTCTGGATTCATGGCTTCAGCCTGGTCTAGCTTCAGCTGTTACAGCTATCTGGGGAATAAGCCAGTGAAAGGAATATATTCTCTCTCTCTCATTCTTACTTTCGTTCCCTTTCCTTGTTTCTTTCACGTGAACAAATTGAATTTTTCTTTAAATCTAAAAAGATGGATTCATTTTGAGTTCTGAATTTGTGGCTTCAGGCTGATTCAGCCTCAGCTGTCATGACTATCTGGGGAATAAGCCAGAGAAAGGAATATATTTTCTCTCTCATTCTCTTTTTCTCATATCATTCTGCTTTTCACATGAACAAATTAAATTTTTAAATCTAAGAAGACTGATTCATTTTGAGGAATACTGTTCTAAGTATGGAAAGTAAATGGAAATTTTCTTTGTATATAACTTTTTATGAACTGTATGTGGTGGTTTTTAAATTATCTTTATTTGGAAATCTTTTGCCTACATGTTATGCTAAATATTTTTGAACTAGAATTGAATTCAGAAGCTGCTTTGCCTTACTAAAATTAACATAAGTAAAATGAAGATATTTTTATTTAGCATTCAAATCATTCTTGCTAAAAGAATTTTCCATTTCTTTAAAAATAAATGGAAAAGTCCACATTTGGAAGAAAGTATTAACAGTGTAATAGTCTGGCAAGAGATATTTCCATTGCTATTATTGAAGTTTCTATACATATTTCATTCTAAAATAACATGCCACGTCAAAGTGATTCAAAATATATAAGCAAATACAACATGAATATTTCATGCAAGAAACTGGAATACGTTAAACCTAGTTTAAGAGTAATAAACTATTTAATTTTTAGTTGGTGGTATTGATCGGCCCTCTGCTTTCTAATTAAACTTTTTATTTTGAGGTATTTATAGATTATCATGCATTTATGAGAAGTAGTACATCAAGAAGGAGCTTGTGTTCTCATTACCTAGGTTCCCGTAACATAATAACAAAACTGTATCACAATAGTACAAGTAAATTATTGGCAATATTAACACTGATATTCAAGATATAGAACATTTCCATCATCACAGACATCACTCACAACCTCAACTTAACTAATTAAATCTGTAGTTTCCATAGTGTCACATTCTAAGGTCGTGAGTTGGCATGAATTGGGGGACAACATTAATACTTAATATGGGGCAAATCTGTTTATAATTAGTATATTATAATTATATATATATAATTAACATATTCTTGATTGTTTCACAGTTTTATTATTATATAATGTTTTTTCTTGTCACTGGTAACAAATATTTTCTTGTCTATTTTGTTGTATGTTAGTTTAGTCATTTCAGCTTTTTTTTGGATTTCTTTTTGCATTGTAGCCCTTTTTTTCCATTCTTTTACTTTTGGCCTATTTGTTACTTTGAGTTGAAACTATATGTCATAGAAAGTGTACAGTGTGTCATTTTTTTTAAAAAGTTCATTCTGCCAACCTCTGGCTTTTAATCATCACATTCAACCCATCTTCATTTAATGTAATTATTGACAAGGCAAACTTAATCTGGCATTTTCTAAATCATGTTCCTCTCTGCTTCAATTACTGCCCTGTTTTGTATTAAATGTGTTCTTGTGTTCTGTTTTAATCCTCTGTTGTTTCTTTTTTTTATTTCTATTTTAGGTAAATCTCAGAGGTTGTCCTGAGATTCCAGTTAGCATGCTAATATATAACAATCTAGTTCAGAATGATGTCATATTTGTTTTTATGTATCTGGAAAGCGGGGGTGGGGGGAGGGAGGGAGAGAGAGAGAGAGAGAGAGAGAGAGAAATGTCAATCTTGCATCCACTGTTCACTTCCCAAATGTCTACAACAGCCAGGACCTAGCATTTAAACCCTGGAACTCTAATATGAGATATAAATGTCCCAGATGACAACGACTGCAACAAAACTCTATTCCTACCAACTTAATTTTAGTAACCTACAAAAACTATGTCCAATTTCTTTGCATATCATTCCAGTTGTTATTTTCTAAAATACATTTTTATATACCATGTGTCCACAAATATATATTGACCATCACTGCTTTACACAGTTATCTTGTAAATCAGATGGAGAAAACATGGAATTATCAAAACATTATGGCCAATAAGGAGCATAGAAACATGAATGGGCTAGCCACAAAGGAACTTAATCTGTATTTTAAGTGGGAAGTTTTTGGATGGTGAGTAACCATCACAATAAAGAAGGAAATTGGGGACATTTGTGGGAAAAAAAAAAAAGACAAGACTTAATGTAAGTCCCACGGTATTTTTTTTTATGATTTATTTATTTTATTGGAGGGGCAGATCTAGAGAGAGGAGAGACAGAAAGATTTTCCACCCAGTGGTTCATTCCCCAAAAGGCTGCAATGACTGGAGCTTAGCTGATCTGAAGCCAGGAACCAGGAGTTTCTTCCTGGTCTCCCATGCAAATGCAGGTGCCTGAGGACTTGGGCCATCCACCTCTGTCTTCCCAGGCCATAAGCAGGACGCTAGGTTGGAAGTAACATAGCCAGGACATGAACCAGAACCCATATGGGTTGCTGGGCTTGCAGGTGGAGGATTAGCAAGTTGAGCCATAGCACCAACCCCCAAAGCAGTACGTTCCAGAATTGTTTTGCTGCTAGTGTCCAGGACACTCCCAAGCATGTGACAACAGGATGAATAATGTATGCTAGAGAAGAACAGTGTTGATATGGAAGACTGAAAGAAAAATTGGGCTTCAAGGTTTAATGTTCATTGATCTGGTGTAGGGTGGTAGATTTTAGATCAATGACATAAATTCTAAAGCATAACATTCTATTCGCTGCTACTAAGTTGATATATTTAACTTCATTTTGACTCTTTCATGATCCATAAACTCTTAGAAATATTACTGTATAATTTATCTGATTGTATATTTTGTTCTCACTTTATAAGAATTAGTTTGTGACTCTGTTTTGGGGCAAACCAATGTGTACAGTTCGTCAGATGTTGTTAACTCCTGGTGTTTTCCTGACAGAACAGACACTTGAAGGATGAACAAATTTGGCACATACAGAACCTACTAAAGGAGCTAAGTGAAGAGAAACCAGACACATTACCAGCTGTATCAAGGGAGGATGTTGAAGAAGCGATGAAAGAGAAATGGAAGTTTGAAAGAGATCAGGAAAAAAACTTAAAAGGTCACTTAGGGACTGAGAAGTTTATCATAAAATTTTACCAGAATTTATAAATGCTATTGTCTTCCAATATACTCAGAATGCAATGAGTGTGATTTGGGTGTCGTTATTCCTACCATAGCCACAAGCACGTACTGATAAAAGGACAGAAAAGGGAAAACAACAAAGTGTGCAGAAGCCACTGGAGGGGGACGAGTAAGTGCAGTGGTCACAGGCGAAGGCAGAATCCACTTGAGCTCTGAAGGCCAGATGGGTTCCTGTTTGGTGCCATTCTGAGCGGCTCTTCAAAGCAGAATTTGTTATTTCTTTTGTGATTTTGGTGTCATCATTGGCTTTAGTCTCGTTCAGACTTAGGAATGCTAAAATTAATATAACCATAATCCTCCCCTCCCATAATATTTAAGGGGCTAAGCGTAACACCATTTAGACAAAAGAAGGAAGGGTAAGAGTTACAAAAGGGGAAGTGTGTTGGGCCTGGAGATGAAAGCCAGGACGCACGATTGCTATGGGCTCAGGAAATAGAGTCCTGGGGTAACTTGTGTGCAGTTTTAAAATGTGCATTCTTTACAACCATTCCTCCCTCTTAAACTTGGGATTTCTAAAGCCACCTTTGCCAGAACTTCTAGCAATTCCATCCCTGCTAGGAAGCTGAAGAACATGAGAAAGAGATTTGAGGGCTATTAGGAAGCAGTATCAGAAGTTAGGAGGCAAAACAAAGCACAAGTTTTTTTTTTTTTTATTTCTTCCAAATATTTTGAATTACCTACTTTTCTGGAGCACTTGCACACAGCAGGCCCACTACTCAATAGATAGTTTTGATTTTTAGTAAAATAGTTTCCAAGATTAAACATCAGGAGACAAGCTCCATTTTCAACAATTTCCAAAACTGTTTCCATAACCCTCCTCTCGCCCATATCTCTCTATTGGCAACATTTATTCCTGACATTTTGCAGTACCCCCCACTTAAGAGTTATGTTTGCACTTCCAAAGAGTACTCTAATAAATTCCTGGAGATGAAAGTGAGACCCTAGATGCTGCTGAAGTGTGCTCACCAAATTGCCTTCTCAGGAGAGTGGGCCAGGTTAGCTGAGGATCTGCTGATTATTCTTTAAGGCTGAGTAGTGTCTGCAGATTGGATGACCTAGTATAGGCAAGTGGGGCTGGGCATGAGTAAAGAGTCCTACAGAAACAAAAGAATAAAAAGAAAATGATAGGACAGAAGTATCCTGAGAGAATTCCTTAGGACGCGATGTACAAGGGAATCCCCTGTAACTCTTTCGTATGGGACCGAGATGGATGGCTGCTTTTACCCAGCAGCTTGTTGTAATCCAAAATCTCAGGCCCCACCTAGATCAACCAAATCTTATTCTACTTTTGACAAGATGTCAGGAGAGCCCTAGGCACAGCAAGGTCTGAAAAGAATGGTTGTGGCGCCTTTCTTTCAACTTTTACTTAGCACTCCCAGAGCTGCAAGGATAAAACCCAAGTCAGTCCAGCCTTAGCATAAAGGGGATATTAAGTTTCCCACATAAGCAAGCCCCAGCAGGGCAGGATGCTGCTGATCTGATCTGGAGCTATACTTGCTGTCAGATCTCACCAGTGTGTTTTAGAAAAACATTCTGTACCTGCATGTATGTACACACACACACACACACACACACACACACAGAGAGACTTTCTCTCTCTCTCTCTGTCACACACACACACACACACACACACACACACACACACACACACACAGACTCCCACACATGCTCTTCTTACTAGACAGCATGGGAGATTGGTTCCAAGAAAGTAGAAAACCAGCCACTACACCCATGTGTCTTTCAAAATCTTCATATACTAACCCCCACCTCCAAGACCTCCAAGACTGAATGTGGCACAAGGAGGAGACAGCGGCAGTATGCACACATGAAAGGCCAGCAGCCCCTCTGGGTTACAGCAGTGTTACCCATTGTTTGTTGACTGATAACACCATCTGCTAAGAAAATTTAAGATATCTTATGTCCAACTCTAGAAAATGACGCACCCAGGGTTTTTCTGATCCACTACACTAAAGGATATCCCTCTAGCCTGATGGGAGCTTCAGCAATTCAGTGAACATTGAATGAGCAATAAATGAATTGGGGTGTTTACAGATATGAGCGTAATGTGTGCTTGCCTTCAAGGAGCTCGCAAACAAGGTGGTGTATGGTAGTGAGTCAAGTAACTATAAAGCCCCCTGTACCTGGCCCTTAGTGCTGGTTTCTTCTCCATAATATCTAGTGGCATGAAACTCAAGCCTTTTTAAAAGACTTTTATTTATTTTAAAGGTAGAGTGATAGAAATGAGAGAGAGAGAGAAATAGAGATAGAGATAGTGATAGAGAGAGAAAAAGATCTTTTGATTTCTAGTTCACTCCCCAAATGCCTTCAACAACCATGTCTGGGATGAAGACAGGAACCAGGAATTCCAAACTGGCCTCCCAGGCATATTAGCACAATTAGAAGTTCGGCAGCTAGAACTTGAATTGGCACTCCCATACCGGATGCCAGCATGCACGAGCTGCAGCTTAACATGCTGTGCCATGGTTGCTCAGGCCTAAAGATGTGCCAGGGCATACTGAAAATTTATGTGTTTGAGTTAGTTACTAAAATGAGGACAGAGGGAGAAGATGTGCTGTTATTGCTGTCATTTACCATTAACACAAGGAAAGTCCAAACGAACTATCCTTGACTATATCAAATGATTTACTTAAACAAATAGTTGCTAAAGATCCAGGAAGGACTTAAGAGCCACTTTTCCTCAGAGGCATAATGGCCAGGAAAAATGACAACTTACTAATTAAAAGTACATTTGATAAAATATTTGTTCTACAAAATGGGACTTCCTATTAAATTACCATATGAGTAATTTAAACTTCTGGATTTCTAGGTATATGGGTTAGTTATTATATCTTCCAGTAATAACCCCAAAGCACCCATCTACTTTATAAATCTAACTTAATTAGATTTTGAGTTGGGAATAAAGAATAGTTTGAGCAGTTTAGATTCTCTTAAATTATATACATAAGATAGCATTTATGCATTTAACAGTATTTTAATATCAGATCTTCACAAAATTAATTTGCAGCACATAATGGTTGCATGGACAATGAAAATAACATGGTGTCTTGGCTTTCTTTCCAACAGATATGCGCACACAAATAACTAACACTGAGAAGCTATTTATTGAGAAACTCGGTGAAAAGGAATATTGGGAAGAGTACAAGAATGTAGGGAGTGCACAACATGCTAAACTCATTACTTCCTTACAAAACGACATCAACAGAGTTAAAGAGAATGCAGAGAAAATGTCAGGTCAGTTGCAGCTAAGCTAGTACAAATTCCATTGAAAACATTTTAAAGGGTGGAAGAGAAAACGAGGCACTCTAAATCATGCTCTTTCTCTCTGCTGTCTGCACAAGTCTCTGTGGGCCTGGAAGCAAAGAGGGAGGAACACAGCAGAGACAGGATTCCAGGACACCGATGAGAATGAGAAAACAAAGTGAAGGCCTGTGGTGCTGGAAAGAAGCCTGACTCAATGGGTGGTGTCTCGATGGGGGCAGGTTCCCTGAAGTAGGAGTGTTCTGGGCCCTAGTAATGCAATAAAGGACTCACGTGAGGCGAAGTAAGACTAGCCTGGCCGTGTAACCTTACTGAGAGACCCCCGAAGTGAATTAAGCTGCAGCCAGAAAAACCTGAAGAAAAAAATATGAGTTCCATGGAAAGTGTTCATGTTATTGTGTCCATCTTTGCAATGGTAATAACATTTATACATTGAATTACTTGCTGGTCATTATGAGGTATAGCTGATTTTAAGTAGTAATAGAAAAATGATTACTGAGAGCTGGCACAGTGGTAAAGCATGCTAATCTTCCACCTGTAGCATTGGTATCCCATATGAGTGCCAGTTTGTTTCTCAGCAGCTCCACTTCTGATCCAGCTCCCTGTCCATGGCCTGGGAAGGCCATGAAGAATGACCCAGGTCTTGCATCCCTGGACTCATGTGGGAGACCCAGAAAAAGCTCCTGGCTCCCAACTTCAGACCAGCCCAGCTCTGGGCATTGCAATTATTTAGAGAATGAACCAGTGTCTATACCACCTTAATCCCTAAGCCCCTATCAAGGCTACAAATGTTTTGATCCTTTGTTCTCTCAGTAGTGACTTGCAAGAATGAGGAAGCATGTGAACATACAAGAATGGGGAACATCAGACCCGTGGGCCACATGTGGTCAGTGAAATCATCTGCTTTGGTCTTGCCAGGACAACTGCAGACAGGAATCAAAGCTCAAAAAATGCATAGCAGACTAATTCTTAGAGTGATGATTTTGTACAGCCCCTGGATGTTCTTATAAATTAAACATACATCCGGCCCTTGACAGAAAAACTCCCCCTGCCTTGGCAGGACCCTGTACTTCATCTCACCCCTTTGCTTTGCCTGAACTCAGATGCACCTGAACTAAGTTTGTTGACCTTCACTGTCCTGTCTGCTCACCTTCCTCTTCTGATCCTGCCTCAGGAAATGCAAGGCACGAACACTGGAAATTGAGTTAGATGAAGTCGGATGTACAGGATGCTACTCAAGCAGATAATCATTTTTTTTTTAAATTCCTATGGTGAGTCATAAGTTGTATGATCTGAAAGGTAGATGTCACATAGGTACTGAAGCAATGAAATTCCCTTTCAGAGTTCCTTGATAATGCAAATATTCTCTGCAGAGATATCTTAAACTGATTCACATTAAGGTGTTAGCAAATCATAGGAACACTTCAACAATTGCAGAAGTTAGCTGTACTAAAGAAGTACCCTGAAAAGTCAGGGAAATACGTATAAAAGAGAAGTAAGGTACATAAAAGATAAAAAATTATCTAATACTATCAATTACTAAAGCGTAACCTCACTACTCACTAAGACTCTTTTTTTTTTTTTCCATTTTAAAGAACAATATAAAATCACTCTGGAAGATGCTAGAAAGAGAATTATCAAAGAAACTTTGTTACAACTGGACCGAAAAAAGGAATGGGCTACACAGGTATATTTCAATTTTCTTAAAAACAAAACAACCTTTGCCCTATTTTTCCTGGTGGTATGTTGGTAGTGTAGAACCTGGATTCTGACATTAAGTAGTTAGAGCTTAAATTGCAGTTCTTTACTTACTGGTTGTGTAATTTAAATTTGGCACTAGGGTGGGTAATGGGGAGAAGAGAGCCTCTGTTTTCTAGTCTGTAAATTGGAGGTAATAATAGCATTTATTTTAAAAAGATGGTGTGACGTTTGACTAAGATGCTCCAGGTTGCATAGCTTCCTACAAGAAGTAAAAGCTTAGTAATTATTTCCTGTTATTTTAAGAGCTGTTTTGTTTATTTGAAAGACAGAGGTATAGCAAGAGACAGAGAGAGAGAGAGAGATAGTTCTTGCATTTGCTGGTTCACTCCCAAAATGGTTGTAGCGTTTCATCTCCAGCCACTGTGGCCATCTGTGCATTGAACCAGTGGATGGAATACCTCCTCTGTCTTTCCTCCCCTCTCTGAATAATCTGCCTCTCAAATACAAATAAATAAATAAACAAACAAACAAATAAATACATGGGGAGATCAAATAAGCAAGTAACTTCAGGTGTATATCATGAAGACTGTTCCAAATACTTTTTGAAGCATTTAACAGTTAAGTCTCACGGCACTTCTGTAAGGTGCAAGGATTTTCTAATGAGGGTGTGGTGTGTTTGTGTGTGCGTGTGCATGCGTGTGGTTTGCCCAAAGCAAATGAGAGAATTCAGATTCAATTCATATGGTTGGGTTGTTTGCATTCTGTATCAGAGTGTTGGTTGGAATTTGGGCTGCTGGGCTAAAAATTCTATTTCTGCCAAGGTGATTAGGAAGCAGTGGAGGATGGCTCAAATAATTAAGTTCCTGCCATCGATATGGGAGATTTGAATGGAGTCCCCAGCTCCTGCCTTCAGCCTGACCCAGCCCTGGCTACTGTAGACATCTGGGGAGTGAACCAGCAGATGGAAAAAACACCTTCCTTCTTTCCCCTGTCTCTGGGTCTCTCTCTCTTTCACTATGCCTTTCCAGCAAATAAACACATCCTTTAAAAATTCGGGTATTCTTCTGATTATAGTTTGTTATTACTATACTTTTTTTGCTGCATAGTAGCAAATTTATGCCTAAATGAATTTTCCTCATTTCAGCTGATTTTAGCCTATGTAGTTGAACTTCTCAAAATCCAGTGCTGTATAACTTGAGCTGCATAGTAGAATTATGTGAGAAAATAGTCTGTATGCAGATGGTACCTCTAACCTACCACAGTGGTTGTAATATAATTTCCCCAGGACTTCATCTGGGTTTCCAGATTTTTCAAAGCTTCCAGATTGCAGTGTGTACCAAGGTTGAAATCACTACATTATTGTCAATGAACTGAGCCATTAGTCATGTAGCTTCAACTAGAAGCTGTTTCTATTTTTTTGTTGTTGTTGTTGTTTAAGTAAAATCCTATGGTGGAAGACACTAGAATTACTACTTGTAGCTTTAAATAAACAAAATTCAAGTTACCAGGAAATGCATGTCTACTCTTAGTTTAACATATATGATTGAATGACTTTTTTTAAATTGTAAGTTTTCCAGTTCTAAAATTTAGCCAGATTTACTCTTAACGTACTTTTAAATTAGTTTCATTCACATTTATGATCGAAAATATTTTGCTTAATTTATCTTGTGACCTTCTGTTTCTGATTTGAATTTAACATTGTATCCATATAAGCCATCTCACAGAAAAATACAGTATCTAAAGTAACTGAAAATGAGTTTATATTTTATTTAACAAACCTACTGACAAAGTAAGACTTTTCCTGTTTTCTTTGTGTAAAATGTCTGTGTAGCTACACAAGGCCAGCTACTCTGAAACTACCTGCTATGTTTGTAAATCTGCATACTATTATAAACAACAGGCAGAAAAGTTTCAAATTTAGAGGCTGTATTATAAATTCATGCTACTAAAATATGGACTCCCCCTGAAAATGTTGGACATGTTCAGACAATGGGATGATGGGCTATCTGACATTGTCCGTACCAGCAATGTCAGGGCATGCTTAAATAGCAGACTGATGGAACTGTAATTCCATATGAAGAATGTACTGTTGTGACAATGGGAAAATCAAAATTTAATCTGATTCTATATAATATACAGAATTGTACCATAAAATTCAAAATTTAAGATAGAAATTTTTAAAAATTCATGTTATTCTATATTGGGTTCTGTCTGTGACTATGTGCTTAAGGAGTATTTGATCACTCCAGCTTAGCCACCTTACCTGTGGAGCTGTCACTTCCTGATTAACTTCACCACAGCAGTCAGGCTCAGTAACAGTGGAGGCCGAAGGAACGGACAACCACCCACATTGTCTAGATGGTATGATACAACAATTCAAGAAATCTAACCCAAAAGTTTTCAGATATGTTTCTGAGGAGTTGCAAAACACAGTTTAAAGTGAATGAGAAGACAAACAGATGTGGCCCCCATCACTGCTCCTGTGAGTCACCATGTGGCAACTATTCCTGACCTCAGACACTTTCTTTTAGAATGCTGTCAGACTTATTGACAAGAGCAGTTATCGAGAGATCTGGGAAAACGACTGGCTGAAAAAAGAGGTAGGTAGAATTTATCACTAAAAAAAATACTTAATGTTTTCAGCTGGAAATGAGCTTTGATTATTAGCCAAAGTTATGGGGGGGGGGGAAGCATGGAACTTGGACAGAGATAAAATTCAAGTAGAGTTCTTAATTTTACTTCAATCTGTTTCTTAATGAATGCCATAAGTAATCTAGATGGCCATAAATACATTTGTAAGATTTACATTGCACACAATATACTCAAATGTACAGATTTTCTTTATGTCTTTATGATTCTCATCTCATCTTCTGCATGAGCCTGTGGGGTAATGCCAAAGGAGCCTTCTCGTCTCCTCCCATCCTGAGGGAGGCTGTCTCCTCGCTCCCTTTCCTTCCGCTGTTCCTCTGTGAGATGGAAGAGGGACTTTCATGACCTTCTGTGATTGTGTTGCTCAAGAGAGCTTGGCTTGCTTTGGATTCTTGTTCCCTCAACCTGTCTGTGCTCTGCTTTTGGCACTAGGGACTTCTGGATCCATGCTGGCCTTTTAGACACCGTGCTGCAGCCAACACAAATTCAGTTACAGCCATTTCCCTTTGGTCAGGTGGTCCTTACCTGCTGTCGCCCCAGAGTCTCACCCCCTGCCCTATCCTCTGGCTGTCTTCACATCTCCTTCTCAAGAGCACACGAGAGCTGTGCACCTGTGTGCTGCCTTCACTCATCTTCCCTCTACACCAGTGCTAGTGCTGCTCATGCTGGAGGCAGCTGCGCAAGGCCTACTGGGGCAGTTCTCTCAACTTCCACAACGTTGACATTTGGAGCTAGAAAATTCTTTGTTAGGAAACACTGTGTTGTTTTCCTTGCATGTGCCCATCCCTCTGCCTTTACCTGTATTAACTACTTTTCATCTGCTTGTTAAAACTCCAGCTCTTCCTTCAGACACAAACTTTGATGACCCATTTCCTTGTGAATCATTTTGTGACTTCCGCAGGAAGTCCTGGGTGCCTTTTCCTCAATGTCCTCTTGATTCACTGTGACTCTTGCTAAAATATACTGAAATTGTCTGTTTATATCTTTGTCTCCTTCATAAGAAGAGCAGGTGATAGTGTTTCAGTTGTATATCCATGGCACTCAATACATAATCTGTGCTTATTAAATAGGTATTGAATAAATGAATGGTAATGAATATAGATGCACTCACTAAAGGGACAATTTAAATATAATTTAGATTCTGGGTAAAAGGTAGCAATTGTTTTAAAGCCTTTGTCAGTTGTTTATGTCGTGACTCAAGAGGGCAAACTACATCCTTTCTTGAGGACATATTGAAATAGAATTATTGAAGTTCAAAAAAGGAACCCAACTAAAAACAAAACAGGAGGACTTAACTAGCAAGTGAGATTTTCAACATATGAAAGTATGTTGTCATCAGCAGATAGTGTCTGGTCCAGATGTTCACAAGAGCCTGCAGAAGACATGTGAAATTCAGTTTGTTTTCAGAAATCCAGAAAATTCTCTGTTCAGGGACTGTTCAGAGACTATAGGTGGTAGCAATGGACTGGAGTAACAAGAAAACTGCTTATTAATAAGCATTAATAAGCACTACCCATGTTTACCCCCAGGCCCTTCACACAGAACACAGTGTTACTTCTGAACTCAGGACTTGGCTGTCCTTTCAGAATACTGCAGAAATGATATGATTAGAGCTAAATTTCTACTGCAGACATTAGACGTTTCTGTGCAGAAAAATCCCATTCCTATCTTGACATTTAGGAAGCTGTTACTTAATATCCCCAGCCTACCTTGTCCTAACATAATTTGGCCTGTCCTACTTTCCCATGTAAAATCTCATTCTACATTCCCGCTCACTTATTATGAAAATAGACTTATTCACATACTCATAAAACAAATCCTCACCACACCCCAGTCTTTTGTTCCATTTGAATAGACAACCAAGAATTCCAAAGACATATGAATACAACCAGCACAACAGAAAAGAAAGACGAAGTTAACCAATAGCAAAAAAGTAAAAAGGAAACATTAAAAACCATAACTGTCCGTTAAAGAAACAGAAAAAATTCAGGAAATAAGAATGAGCTATGATTAAAAAACAAAACCAGGAAGACAATTTAGAAAACAAGATGCTTTAAGACAGAATTAGTCAGATATAGAATACAGAACTGTTCTATCAGGACTAAGACGGCCATATCTTTTAAAGGAGAGAAAAAGAAGAGATAGAGTATTAGTGTATGAAATATTATTTCCAAATGATAGTCATCTCAGAAAAAAAATATAGAGGACAATAAAGCAAAGGAAATCATCAATTAAATCATAGTAGTGTAGTGGGCAGACAGTCCGGTGCAATAGTTAAATCATCACTCACTCGGCCAGGCCCTAGCTAGTGCAGGAATTTTGAAAGTGAACCAACAGATGTGGCAAATCTCTGCCAGTCTGTCTCTGTCTCTGATTAACAAAAAATTTTAAAATGAAGAAATAAAATTATAGTAGAAAGCAACTACATGCCAAAAAGTGCATGAGTTTTCAGAATGTCAAGAACAAAATGAAAATCCAGAAAGTTCCTAGCTTAAGATGTGAGGACAAAGGAGAAGTTGACTGCAAAGCAACAAGAACCAAGTTGACATCGGACCTCTCAGGTGCAGAATTTTCAGGGGCAGCCTTGTGATGTAGCAGTCATATCTTTGGGTGCCCACTCATATCCCACATCAGAGTATCCCGAATTTGACTTTCAACCCTGTTCCTGATTCCAGTTTCCTGCAAACACAGACAGATCATGGGAGACAGCAGGTGATGACTTAATAACTTGGGTCCCTGTCGCCTAAAGAGATGATTTTTGTTAGAGTCCTGGCTGTGGCCTGATCCAGACCCAGCTGTTGTGGATCCACTCCCAGCTGAGGAGTGAACTAGCAGATACAAGATCTTTTTGATTCCTGTCCCTTTCTCAACTTTCCCCCTATCCAAATTCAAAAATAAAGAAAAATGTTTATGAAATTATTTTCAGACTAGATAGATCAAAGGCAAAATGAAGTTATTTTCCAAGAATGCTAGGGCTCAGAATATTGACCTCTCAGTCCTCCTCAGGAATTTATTTGATAATGTACTTCAGCAAAGCAAGACAGTAATGGGTAAGAGAAAACAGGAAAGATACTTTCCAGGATACCAGGGGAGTGATAATTGTGTTGCAGACCTAAAGAGCATGCTGTCTGGATCAAAACTAATGTCCCTTCCAGGGCCCAAACCCACTAATTGAATAACCAGCTGTGCAACTCCACCTCAGAGCACCATAACAATCTCAAACTCCTCAACCCACTCCCTGCTCTCCTCTACTGTCTATCCCAGTTAAGGATCCCACCATTGTCCAGTTACCCTGGCCAGAAACTTGAAAGTTTACTTAGGAAAGTCTTTTTCCCCTTGCCACCCAAAAAACGTCAGTCCCCTCAATTCCACTTTGGGCCACTTTGCCATTGTGCTAGTAGTGCAGGTTCTCATTAGCTCCCTCCAATATCTTTCAATTCCATCTTCTCCAGTTTTCCTGCACTGCCCTGTAAGTTTCCTTCTCTCCAAACAGCCTCAGAGTCATGCTTTCAAACATGAACCTGGCAATCTTGTGCTTTCAACCCTTCAGTGACTTTTCCTCTAGTTATTTGAGTGGTGCTAGACTGTATGGAAGGGATTGCCCAGGGAAGAAAGCTGGACTCACATTATGAGTCCTGCAGAGCGATTTGGACTCTCCCAGGTAACAGAGAGCCATCAAACTCTATTTCTTAGCAGCCTGTTTCTGACTGCTGAGCACAGCAATCCCCTAGGCATCTAGGGGATATCTCTCACTATGTGAAATTGCTTTCACATTTGGGCAAATAGTCACCCAATTCATACCATCTATGGAATAAAACTGAATATTTTTTGGGAGAATTCACTCCAAACTTATGCAGGTCTTTTAGCAAGTTATCTTTTCTAAATTCATTTTATCTTTATTGTGTTTGAAAGACAGAGAATCATACAGAAGACAATCTTCCATCTACTGTTATACTCCCCAAATGTCCACAATGGCTACGGCTGGAGAAGGCTGAAGCCGGGAGTGCAGAACACAGTGCAGGCTACCTATACAGGTGGCAGCAACCCAAACACCTGAGCCATCGTCTGGTGCTTGCTGGAGTGCGTGTCACTAGGAACAGAGCAGGGACTCAAACTGAGGCACTATGCAATGGGGCAGCTCTCCCAAGTGGCATATTAACTGCCGCATGAAACACCCATCCTGATTCTTCTGTGGTTCTCATACATTCATCTTCAACACTAATTTCTGTGGGTGCACAACCCTGAACCAACATCTTTAGTTGCCTGTCAGATATTTCTGCCTGGATTTCCCAAAAGTACATCAAACTCAAGATAACTAAAGCAAAAAAACTCATTAAATTTCCCCTTGAATTTTCTTCTACATTTTGTTTTAATCATCTCCCCAGACACCAAAGATAAAAATGTCACAGTCAGGGCTATACCATAATGCAGCTGACTAAGGTTCTGGCTGACGTGCTGGCATCCCACATGGGTGTTGATTCAAGTCCTGATGCTCTGCTTCCCATCCAGCTCCCTGCTTATGGACTGGGAAAGCAGCAGAGAATGGTTCAAATACCTAGGCCTCTGCATCCAAGTGGGAGACCTGTAGGAAGCTCTTGACTCCTGCCTTCAGATCAGCTCGGCTCTGGTCGTTGTGTGACCATTTAAAGAACCACTGGATCTTTGATTTCTCTCTCTCCTCTCTGTAACTCTGTCTTTCCAATAAAAATAAAGATCTTCCATCATCTGGTTCACTCCTCAAGCTTAGCTGGAGCTAAGCTGATTTGAAGCCAGAATCTTCTTGGTCTCCCACATGGGTGCAGCATCTCAAGGCTTTGGACCATCCTCTGCTGCTTTCCCAGGCCACAAACAGGGAGCTGGAAGGGAAGTGGAGAAGCCAGGACACAAACTGGTGCTCATATGGGATCCTGGCACATGCAAGGCAAGGATTCAGCCACTGGGCCACCATGCTGGGCCCAACAAATAAATCTTTTTTTTTTTAAATAATTCTCAGCTTTTACTGATTCCTTTTCTTTGTTTTTTGGTTTTTTTTTTTTTTTTTGTCTGCTTATAGTTTAATGAGACTGGGTAACAAGGAATTTAAAGATTCATGAGAACTCTTGTGATAATGACAATTACTTATTAATTGCCTTTATAAAGTCATGGTGAATAGGAGCTCATACTCTCCCCCAAACGAAGGGTGAGTCCTCAATTTTAAAAAGAAAAATAATTTTGAAAAATCAGGATGAACTCAGTAGTTAAAGCACATTAGTGAGAAATTTAATTCTTGTACTTTTATTAAAAACAAAATTATAATTCTAATCACAATATCTATTCAATTATTAATCTTAAAATGCCATAAAACTTAGAGTTAGGGAAAATAGCTACAAAAATTCCTATTTTACTACTGAGAACAAAGGATGTTTTGGTGCCTTTCTACTATAGCTACAAATTACATTTTGTCTTGTTTTATTTGTTAATTCTTGTAATTCAGTGGAAACAAAAGTCGGGGGGGGAAAGTGGTTTAATTGAATTGGGAGCAGAAAGAACTTTGTAATAAAGGACAAATAATTTAAAGGAAATTCAATAGATTTAATTTCTCTGTTTAGATAAATATTCATTTTGGTATTATTGAATTTACTCACAAAACTAATGAAAAGTATTTATGGCTATCAGTACTAATACAGAATTAAAAGTTGCCTAGAAACAGAACAATGCACATCAATTTCTTTGAGGAAAGAAAGTTTAAAATGGATAACAAAGATTTTTAATGATGTGATGCCTGAATATGGTCTCCAGGAAGGATACAGAAATACACGTTTGTGTGATTTTCACCATCTGGGTTTATTTAGCATGATTATTAGGAAAATAAAAAAAAACCCCAAAATTTACAAATTGCTTAGACTAATTTAACAAATAGAAACTGTTAACTATATCCTGACAATAGGATGTTGGACTCTCTACCATTGTCCAATGATGGACATATGACTGTTTATGAAGAACTAAACTATAGTAATAATTTAAGGGAATTCAGTGGTGAGGAGGGGGCTTCTGGTGGGGGAGCTAGGGAAATCCCAAAGTCTATTGAACTGCATCATAAAATGATAATAATAATAGATTTATACAAACAAACAAAAAAGAAATGCAGAGAAATTAGGCAAAGGGATTCAAAGGAATGAGCAATCAGAATTTCAAGGTATATGACTGGGGCCAGCGCTGGGCAGAGTAAGTTTGGCCAGCATCTCATATGGGTGCTGGTTCCTATCCCAGCTCCTCCACTTGTGATCCAGCTCCCTGATTAAGGCCTGGGTAAGCAACAAAGGATGGCCCAAATCCTTGGGCCCCTGCACCCATGTCAGAGACCCAAAAGAAGCTTCTGGCTCCTGATTTCAAATCAGCTCAACTCTGGGTGTTGAACCCATTTGAGGAGTGAATCAGGGGATTGAAATTACTTCTCTCTCTCCTTCGTAACTCTGCCTTTCAAATAAGGTTTCTAAAAATATTTATATCAAAGGCTAACTTGGATCTTTCAGAAGATGAGTACAAGAAACAATATTTTGGAATTCTAGGCTTATATAATGGATTTAAATAAATTGTTTTCCTCAACTTTTATGTACTTTCTAGAGTATTTAGAGGGAATATCCTTTTTTGCTTTATTATTCAAAAGTGTTTATCTGATTCCATGATTCTGATTCTCTAACTTTTCCAAAGGCAGGTATATAGCAAGTGAGCAGAATCTTAGGTCTTACTGTAAAAGGTTAGGTGATATTGTTACCCTTAGTCTGAAAGAGTGGCTGTAATGTCCCAACGGGGTCCTCATTCACAGTTTTAGAAAGAGTCCAAGAACTGTATGCACCGCCTCCTATGCATGCCAAGCCCTAATGTTAAACATTTCCAAATGTTCTATTAATTCCTTCTGTTTATAACCTCTGACTATAATTTCTTTCTCATCCTGTGACATTTGAAAATCATCAACATCAACTTTTCTTTAAGTCATTTAAGATTTTAATCAAGTTAACCATCTCTCAACAGGAGATTCTGCAAAGGCAACCGCTTACTTTGTAATTTGGAATTCTGGACTCAAATGGTTTGCTAAATGGTTTGAAGGAGCTAATGCATGCTTTCATTGCTAACTCCCAGCCACCAGCAATACTTGAGATTTTCCTATGACGGGTGTTGCTTTGCATTATAATCATTTGTAGTTTTGTTCACTGGATTATAAGTTATCTTGAGGAAAGTATTTATGCCTTATTCACTTTTATACCCTCCTACATCTAGCTCAGACCCTTGCCTGCAAGAGCTCATGCATATAAATAATTTACATGATAGAGATATACATGTTTCACTGTATCAAAGACTTAAAGATTCCCAAAATGCAATTAAATAGTGACAAAGCAGAAAATATGAACTATCTCCTTTAAAACGTTAGTTATTTATTTTCTTTGAAAGGCACAGAGAGATATCTTCAATGCACTGATTTGCTTCCTAGTTTTTTTTTTAAAGATTTATTTATTTTTATTGCAAAGTCAGATATACAGAGAAGAGGAGAGACAGAGAGGAAGATCTTCCATCCGATGATTCACTCCCCAAGTGACCGCAATGGCCAGTGCTGTGCCAGTCTGAAACCAGGAGCCAGGAACTTCCTCCAGGTCTCCCACATGGGTGCAGGATCCCAAAGCATTGGGTCGGTGCTGAACCGATTCAAAGCCAGGAGCCCGGAGTCTCTTCCAGGTCCCCCACATGGATGCAGGGTCCCAAGGCTTTGGTCCATCCTTGACTGCTTTCCCAGGCCACAAGCAGGAAGTTGGATGGAAAGTGGAGCTGTTGGGATTAGAACCGGTGCCCATATGGGATGCCGGCACCCCTATGGGATCCTGGAGCTTTCAATGTGAGGACTTTAGCCACTAGGCCACCGCACTGGGCCCTGCTTCCTAGTTTTTGCCACAGTCAGAGTTGAACCAGGATCCTGGGATTCTGAGTCTCCCATATGGATAACAAGTACCAACGATCAGGAAACACATCCACAGGAAGCTGGAATCAGAGGCAGAGCAAGGACACAAACCCAGGCACACTAACATGAGATGCAGTTGTCTCAATAGCATTGGAACTGTTGTGCCAAGCACCTGCCTCCTTCATGACTCTCTTGCAGTTACACTCCTGGCAACTCCAGACAACAATGAAAGCAAACCCCGTGCCTACCTCTCTCATCATATTCCCTTGTGATGCTTATCCTTCTACTATTCTCACCCACCACTGTCTCTTTTATATTCTCCTAATTCTTCACTTGTCCTAATACTCTACCCACGACCACCTTCGGATCCAGGATCCATGTAGCTCATTCTGCTGTGGGTGGCGCAGAGATGAGCTGGGGATTCTGTCTTTATTACCACCCTTTTATATTATCTCCATTATCAAGTCTTTTTTAGACAAAAGTTATCAAAATATACACCTCTTAAAGACTAATGAAAACTCCATTAATAGAACTGGCAAGTTTTGTTCGTCTTTGAACTAGCCATATTTCTTCATTGAACATTAACCAAGCCTGCTGTGTCTACAAATGACTCACCATCGCTTACATGACAAAAAAAAGACTCCCACTTTGTTCCTGTCTACAATAAAAGAATCATGTCTTTGTGCAAGTGGTTGGCTTTCACGATTCAGAACAAATGTCATCTCTCTCGTTTATTCTCCCTCTCCTCTCAAAGCATCTTGACAGCTCTCATGACGCTCTGCACCATTGCTTTCTGCTTTCATCACCCTTTCTCTCAGGTGGCTGAGAGATCTTAGAAGGTTATTAATGAGCATTTGTTTGCAAAGTGTAACCTAATTTCTGCCTCAGAGACACACAAGTCTAAGAAGGGATGAATGAGTACTCACCCCTCTATGTGACATTTCTTAGAACTACTGCTCACAGAGAAAGTAATTGTTTACAAAGGTTGACAGATAGGGTTTCTAGACTGTTGCTTCTCTAGTCAAATACTATCACATAACACTTTTCACTGTGTTGTTTTTAGTTTCCCTTGGAAAGATCCCTATGTAGCTGCTAATACATCATATAACTAAATTAGTTAACCTTGTCTTGTTATTTATCTGTGCCTCTAACTCATATACAAACCCAGCAACGTTTTTGAGGGGCAGCAAAGGACAACTGCTGCTGTTTTGTAATAACTGCGTTTGCTGATTCCTTTCATGTTCCTTTAACAAAATACCTGAGGTTGGATATTGAAAAAAAAAATGAAATCTATTTAGCTTAACGTTTTGGAGACTGAAAATTTGAGACCCAACAGCCGAGTCTGGTTCAGTCTCTGGCAAGGGCCTCCTTGGCTGCATGACAACATGAGGGAAAAAATGGAAAGGAACTAGCTGCAGGCAGAAACGGGAGCCAGAGGAATTCAACTTGTTCTTTTTATAAGAATCTGCTCTCTTGGGAGCTAACTGGGGTCTCACAGGAACCACACGATCCCTTGGGAGGGCAGTGCCCTAGTGAGCTAATCATCTTGCACCAGCTTTCCCTCCCTGCCAGCATGCCAACTTCCTGCCAAAGATTCCATCAGCTGCCCAAATGACATGGAGGACCAAGGCTATGTATTTGGAGGAACACACTCATTCCATATCCACACCATACAAACAAGTTACACTGATGACCTAGAAACAAAAACCCCATTCCTGCTTTCTTTGAGAGTAAGAACAAAGATCACACAATAAACAAATAAAACATGATACACCTTCCCTTCAGGAAAATACAATTTTAGGTGTCAGAGTTGTTACAAAAAATGTCATAGAGCTAAGCTAAAAAAGTGCCAACATCCATTTTCTTTTTACAAAAACAGATTGCAATACACAGAAAGGAAGTTGAAAAATTAGAAAAAGTTATTCATGAACTGGAAGAAGAAAATTTGGTACTTATTGATCAGCTTTTCAACTGTAGACTTGTGGATCTCAAAATACCCAGGTGATTATTAGCATATTTAGAATGTATTTTTGTAGATATTTGTAACTGTAAAAAATTATGCATTTTTAAAGACGATTTGGGGTGGGGGGAGTGGGGTGGCACGATGGCTCAATTGGCTAGTCCTCCCCCTTTAAGTGTCAACATCCCATATAGGCACTGGCTCATGTTTGTGGCCAGGGAAAGCAGTGGATGATGATCCAAAGCCTTGGGAAACATGCATAGGAAACCTAGAAGAAGCCCCTGCCTCCTAGCTTCAGACCAGCTCAGCTCCAGCCATTGTGGACACTTGGGGAAAGAACCTGTGGATGAAAGATCTTTTTCTCTGTATCTCTTTTCTGTAAATCTGTCTTTCCAATGAAAACAAATCTTAAAAGGATTATTCAGTTTTTCAACACTTTAGCCAGACTGCAGCAGTCGAAAAGAAAAGGATTCACAAAATGGCCACAATTAAGGCAGATTATTATAATAATGCATATGTATGTTATAAACTTGAACTTACCTTTTTTACAATGCACTATAGTATTAACAGTAAATACCAGTGATGCACACTACAACTGCCAACTTCCAGGAGCTTCCAAGCCATCAGGGGAAAGGGTTATGAAATAATTATACTGAGTATAGCGAGAGATCTGTGAAACACACTAAGTACACAGTGATCAACTTTCTGGAAGTTTCTGGTAGATGTTCTAGGCTTCTGGTTATCTCATGGACTACAAAATTATTTTTGATGAAAACGTCTAACAATTTTGTGGTCAATTAAAACAGGCCGACTCTTGTTCTTGCAGATGAGAAATCAAATGTAGCAGATGGTTTTATATTTTAGGTTACCTTATTTCTCATCTAACCCTCCCACTCTCGAAGAAGTTCTAATGTATCAGTCTTGATGGCAAACTTAATCCTGGATAGGGAATTAAAATTCAAAGTAGCATATCCCTAATTTAGAGAAGTAGTCATAAACAAGAATTAACCTAAATTATGGCATTATTTGGAAGAGAGAGAAAATTCGTCACACAAATGTAGCTTGGTGCCAAGTATTGGGGAGAAAGATGTAAGTGTAGGAACTAAAATAATATTGAATTGAATATAGTGAAAGAAACAGGAAGAAGTTTCCACCTAGGTAGTTCCTGTTGCTGTGACAAGGAAATATACCACTGTGATGCAGTATCTATTATTTACACACTTTCTAGTGTGTTCCAAGAAAAATGGGTGCTTGTAACTTGTAGGTTGTTTGCCAGGGAAAGATATCTTTACAGGTGTAAAGATTTAAGGTTAGAGAAACTGGGAGACACCATAACTAATTACTTTGCAGGCTAAGTTGAGTACAAAGGATAAAGAACGATGCCACGTACCTCCCTTCCATAACTGTGTGTGCTCCAGAGAGCGGACGTCACTGTAGACAATGTATGAGGTGAGGCTGAAGGAACTGACTGACTTCTGGACTCCGCACTCTTAGTGTCTCAAGCTGAGGCTCTGCAGGATCCTGGGCCCTCTTTGCCAGCTCTCCTCTGTGATTAAGCCTCCAGCTCCACAGTGCTGTGCTTCATCTAGACCTTGCCAGCTGTTGCTGCCTGCCCAATGATCTTGCCTAATCCCTGCCAGCTGTTGCTGGTATGTGGCTCCTAACCATCGACCTAACTGCTGTCCACTGTCCTCATTTCTCAGCTGGTTAACCCCAAAAAACAGCTAGCCTCTAAAATGCTGGCTCAACGTCTAAACTTCCATCAGTCCAGGCTGGTACATTTGATTTGGTGCTGATATGCATACTAAGTCTCAATAATTATAACAAATTCTTTGATAAGGTAAAGTGACTTTACAAGGATAGGAAAGGAGCTGTGAAACTTTTTAATTTCTTAAAATTTTATTTTTATTTGAATGACAGATTTACAGAGAAAAGAGACAAAGATCCTCCTTCCACTGATTCATTTCCCAAATGGCTGTAACAGGTAGAGCTAAACTGATCTGATTTGAAGCCAGGGGACAGGAGTTTCTTCTGGGTTTCCCATGGGAGAGCAAGGTCCCAAGGCCTTGGATCATCCTCCATCCAGCCACAAACAGGGAGGTGGATGGGAAGTAAAGCAGCCAAGACATGAACCAGCACCCATATGGGATATTGTTGCCTGTAGGAGGAGGATTAGTCAGTGAGCTATTGTGTTGGTAACAGGAACTATGAAACTTCTAATAGGGGTTTTCATTAAGTTCTTTGCACTCTTAATATACAATCTAACTCTATCCTCTGTCTTCCCTACAAAAACGTTATGTAAAATCCAAATTGCTCATCAAGGCTTTGAGGTCAGTATGAGATATGGAATGTTTTAATGTGAGAAGAAATGAGATTTAAGTCTTTCCCATGGAACAGAAACACTATTGGTAAAACCTGTACGAACAGGATAAATTGCTCTGTTATATACTCACATAGCTTGCTAAACTTTCCCTTTGTAAGCAGCCTTCATCATAGTTTTGATTAATTAATTAAACTCTGAGACAGCTGTTAGGAACTTTTGAAAGATCAATATCAACAACAATGTATAAATTCAATTTTCTGTTAGCATGTTGTTCAGCAGGATAACCTGAGTGTGTGCAGGAGCTTTTTCTGTATGCATTTCTATGTCAATCACATATGTTGTATATTTTATAATACACTGCCCTTCCTATCTCTTCATTGAAATGTAGTATTCTATGATACAAAGTAAAGTGATAAGAAATGAACAGGAACTGTCCCTCTGGACACACAAAATGTTCTATTTTTCTAATTAGGTGTGGAATGGTGTCTTCTAGTTAGTAAAGTTTCCACATTTCCCACAGCAAACTCTCCAGACTTTCCATGACAGCATCATAGAATGTGTTTGACACACTGTGGTATATGGATGAGGTAACTGTTAGCCAGAAATTACTGCCTTGAGACCTAAATGTCATAAGATTGAGTGAGCCAATACTTACAAATCTAACACTAACTTAATACTATAACATCATCTGAAATGTTCTATGCCATTAAATATCAAGTGTTCCTATCCTTTTATGGTGTAAAAATGACACAAACTAATAATTAAAAGGGAATGCTAGATTTCTGAAGGTTATGCCTTCTAATAAGTTCTTTATTATTCAAAATGGTGGAATTAAGAAAGAAAGAAAAGTATTATATGGTCTCAGGCATGTCAACTTGCAGACCAGAGCTATGGGTGAGTTTATGGCCATACCACCCCAATTGCATCTGATCTCAGAAGCTAAGCAGGATTGGGCCTGATTAATACTTGGATGGGAGGCAGAGATCTGAGTGAAATCAACTTTCATGGAGTCTTTACAAGGTTTTATAGATCTGAGTAGAAATGTATTTTCCTAGAGCCTGGAGAGTGATGAATTCAGGGAATCACTGGTTTTGAGCTGCTAAGCTCAAGGTGGTATTTGCACATTTCAGCAAGGCCAATTGCTTCAAGCTCGTTTCAGGCAAACCTTACCCCATCCACACTGCGCTTTCTAGGTCTCCTATTTTCTGATTGAAAATTCAGTGGTTATTCCAAGAAGCAGCACACTGAACAAAATAGATGCACAAAGCAGCAAGCACATCCATAAACAGAGTGCTTCTGTGGCACGTAGATGAATTGTGCCACTCAGACATAAACCCAGGCTAGGAGCCCTTCAGGTTCCTGCTGCTCATCAGGCCACTATCATTCTGCACCTGAACTGCTACAAGTGCGACCTAATGGGTGCCCTGCACATTCTTATTTCCATGGCCCTTCCTGGAAATGTTTCCTTTCCTCCACAGGCTAACTTAGGAGGTTCACTCCCTCAAAATCCTTACTCTCTGCATGGCACAAAGTATCACTCTCCAATATAGGCACACTGGCTGCCACTGTACTAGGGCTTATGCTCTTCTTTTGTAGAAGCAACATCTTGGTTTTCACTTAGTTCCTCCAGCACCTGGCGAGAAAGCAGACTCTAGTGGACACATCATCTCTATTGGCATGCTGTTGTCATTTGTTCTTTCAGGCAGTTGTACCTCACTCAAGCTGCTGGGTATAAAGGGCCACCTGAAAGGAAGCCTTTGGAGCTGCCGGCAATCTGTCCAGGTATTACTGTATCTCAATGCTGATAACGGATTTTTCCAATCAGACAAACACCTAACAAACATCTAATATGTGCAGGTACCCCCTATGTGGGAACCATTCAGAGAACAGATCATGGCACCTGCCCTACACTTCTCTTCCTTGCACTACTGTTCCTAATCTGTTTCATTTCCTAAATTCCATTTTCAAATCAAAGTCACCATGCTTTACAGTGAATTCAGGAGATGCTGTGTGAGAATATGGCATAATTTGAGTCCTAATTTAGTCAACCAAAATGCCAATACCCACATAGGTTCCCATATGAACCTTCTTAGATAATAGAAGGAAATACAGCTTAAAAAATAAGTCTCCCATTTAATACATAAATTCTGTAGTTCTCATTCCTAATACTCAAAATTCTTTCAAATTAAAAACATAAGAAGGGCCTGGTGTGACAGCCTAGTGGCTAAATCCTCACCTTGCATCCACCAGGATCCCACGTGGGCACCGGTTCATATCCTGGCTGTTCCACTTTCCATCCGGCTCCCTGCTTATGGCCTGGGAGGCTGTAGCGGACGGCCCAAAACCTTGGAACTCAGCACCTGTGTGTGCGACACAAAGGAATCTCCTGGCTCCTGGCTACAGATTGGTTCAGCTGCAGCTGTTGCGGCCACTTGGGGAGTGAACCAGCATCTGGAAGACCTTTCTCTCTGTCTCTCTATGATTTCCCAATATAAACAAACATCAAACAAATAAAAATTTTAAAAAGTGACAAAAGGTAGGAATTTGGCATAGTTCAAGATACTGATTAGGCCACCCACACATTAGAATATCTGGGTTCCATCTTCAGCTTTGGCTCCTGCTTCCTGCTAATGGAGATCCTGAGAGGCTCCAGTGATTGGGTTTCTGCTATCCTCCCAGGAGAACTATACTGAGGTCTGTTCCAGCTCGTGGCGTTGGCCCCGCCAGCCATTTCAGGCATTTGGGGAGTGAACCAATAGATGAGAGAGCACTCTTTGTGTCTGCCTGCCTTTAAACAAATTTTTAAGATACGTGATAGGACTGGTGTTGTGGCACAGTGACTTCCAACACTGAGTACCAATGCTGTTCCCTGTTAACGTGCCTGAAAAGGCAATGCACATGGCCCAAGTGTAAGTGCCTGCCACCCTGGTGGGAAACTCAGATGGAGTAATGGACTCCTGGCTTCCATCTGATCCAGTGCTGGCTACTGCAGCCATTTGGGGAGTGAGACAGCAAATACAAAATTCTATTCTTCTCTCCCTGTCTCTTTTCCTTTCAAATAATAAAAAAAAGTGACTAATGTATGTTACATTTTTAGCTGTTCAAAACACATTTCTTTGCACCATTCTTTCCAGAAGAGAAGTCAAAAGTGCGACCCATGGAAGTAGAAAGCAGAGCTACGACAATCTCATCAGCTGAGAGCAGTACTCTCCGCCTTAGCCTGCAAGACAGCATCAGGGATGCCCGGCATCTCAAGATGGAGGAGGAGGAGGAGGAGGAGGAGGAGCTCACAAGCCCAGAGTTTGGAAGTTCTGATATGAAGTATCTGCTTTACGAGGATGAGAGGGATTTCCGGGTGAGACGAATGAGAACACAGTTTTGACTAGGAAGAGAATACTGCAGAAAAAGCCTGTGCTATCCTGGCCAGCAGAGGGCCACGTACATGTAACCAACACTTGTACATGCAGGGCATGTATGTCTCCACTCTAGTGTGTAGCCCGCCCACTAAGTCCTCCGTGGGACAAGCCTACCAGCCAGCCCTGCTATCACCTCTTCCGGAGATCCTGCCTACTAGACCCTACGGGGTACCTAAGTTTACAAAGTGTCATTTGTTTGAATTTATGGTGACTTTCATGTTCCATGTGTTAAATAGTCCTGAGGTAGTTAGGAAGGCAATGAAATCTGCCAGATAAAGGCCAACTGTTATAAAGAAAACTTAACTTGTCTAGACTGTTAACTCACCAAATGATTTCTCATTTGTGCCTCCCCAACAGGAGTATGTCAAGTTAGGTCCCCTGGAAGTTAAACTCATGTGTGTGGAAGGCAAGAAAATGCCCATTCATCCTCAAGATAAGGATGCTCCAATCAAATTGCACGAAGATGTCAGAAGCCCAGAAAGTTGCATCACCTATAAGATGGTGAAGTCTCTTCTCTAAAAGTAAACGATACAAAGTAAAAATCTTTCCTCATAAATGTCTCAGGGAACTACCAATTCGGTCCATTTCAAACCAGTTGCTATTTCTAAAGGTCATAATAATTACATTGAAAATTAAAGTTCCAAGTATTCAACTACGTATGCTTCACTTGCATGGAATGACCAGAAAGGAAGTACATGTCATATTCCCACACGGAAATTGTCAGAAGCATGGTTCAATTAGGAATGCTCGCAGTTAAAGCTGAGAGGTCTGCACAGCACAGGGCTAATGGCCCAGCCAGGATATAACCTAAGCCTACTTTTGCAAAAAAATTGCTAGGCCAAAAAAGAATAACCGCAGAATGCACATTCTCTCAAGGTGCTCACAAACCATTTTCTAAAACAGACCAGGTGCAGGGTGTCATGCAAATCCCAATGAACATTCAAAAAATAAAATCACACAATGTTCTCTTGGACCACAACAGAATTAGATTAAAACAAACTAACATATGCTCCAAATAACTCGAAAATAAGTATTTTCTTTTTAAAAGCACAAAAGAGGGCCTGCCGCAGTAGCCTAGTGGCCAAAATCCTTGCCATGCATGTTCCAAGATCTTAAATGCACACTGGTTCATATCCCAGCAGCTCCACTTCCCATACAGCTCCTTGCCTGTGTCCTGGGAAAGCAGTCGACGACAGCCCAAAGCCTTGGGACCCTGCACCCACACAGGAGACTCAGGGAAGGCTCCTGGCTCCTGATCGGTTTAGCTTAGGATGCTGTGGCCACTTGGGGAGTGAACCAGAAGATGGAAGATTTTCTCTATCTCTCCTCTTGGCAAATCTGACTTTCCAAGAAAAATAAATAATTTTTTTTTTAAAGCAACGTTAATTTAATTAAACAACGATGAAAATACAGAGATCAAAATGTGGGATTAGACTGTTGCAGTTTTTAAAGGAAAGTGTCTAGATTCACCTATTAAAAGAAAATTTGCTAAAAAATAAAACTCCCATGAGTTAACTTTTAGGATTTAGGAACAAAAGGCGAAAATAAATCCAAGGAAAATAAAAGGAAGGGAATAAAGATAAGAACATAAACCAAATTGCACACTGGTACAAAAAAAGGGAAAGGCAAAAAAGCCACAAGTTGAAGGGTTAAGTGACACTGACAACCCCTAGTATGACTGATCTGAAATGAGAGAAATCATGTGAAGTCTGCAACATCACCAAGAGATTTACAGACATTACTTTAAAATAGGAGGAAATTAAGAAAAAATCCCCTTCTCAATAAATTTGACAATTTATTTGAAATGGAAACATTACTTGAAAGCATTTCTGAGAAATAAGAAAAAATATAAATTCTGAATAGCCTCATATCTGCTAAACAAATCAAGTGCGTAATTTAAAATTTTGTACAAAGAAAATTTCAAACCCAGACTGAAGCTTCACTGGTGAATTTTTCCAGACACTAAACACCAAGAATATACAAACTCTTTTCATAGTATATGGAAAAATACACAATTACAAATCATTGTAAGAGGTCAGTATAATTCATGTCAACACCAAAACCTTGCAAGATCATTATACAAAAAGAAACCTCCCCATCCTAGGAGCGAAACACTAATGTCGTGATGACAAAATTCAGAATAGTGGTTGTGAGGTGTGCAAGGACTATGATGGGAAATGAAGTTTCCTGGCAGTTTTGATCTGAGTGTTTTCACTTGTAAATATGCATCAAGCAGAAAGTATTTGTATGGCTTGTGTTTCCAAATGTCTCAAAAAACCCATCCACCGAACTTCAAATCCGTTCTTAACATGGCAATATGTAACAGCTATGCTGCACAGTGAAGAGCAGACAGGAATGTTTCCTGACTAGAAACAAATGACTTCCCGGGTAATCTTTCAAAGGTCACAGGAGCAGGAATGCCCTTGGCAGACACTGAGGTGCCCTGGGTTAAACCACCCTGAGACAGCAGCATCCATGGAAACGCCAGCTCGGGTCTGTGCTCCTGCACCTGGAAAGCAGCACAAAAAGATGCATGGATGCTCAGGTGGAGGTCCCAGTTCCTGGCACTAACCTGAGCCAGTCCTAGCTGCTAGGGTCACTTAAGGAGTCAACCAGTGGATAAAAGGCATATGCATACACTAACTTGGCCTAATAAATAACTTTCCAAAAAAAATTTAAATGGTAACATGGATTTGTGACTTTTCAAGAAAAGCAAACTTGGCCTTGTGACACAGTAGTTAAGCCACTCTTGCTCCTGGCTTTGACCTGAGCCAGTCTTTGTTTTTATGGGCATATGAGGAGTGAACCAGCAGATGGAAGCTCTCTCTCCCTTTCAAATAGATAAAAATGAACAGTTTTTAGAAAACAGGAAATTTGTCATTTTTAAGAAAATTTAAAAATTTTTATAGATAAAACATTTTCTTTAGATAGAAAAAAACCTGCTGAGTTCCCTCTGAGATAAACCAAAGAAAAACAGCCCGTTGTGACAGCTGATTTCAGTAGGTCAGCAAAAACCAACATTGTTTTTCTCTGAAACTTGAGAGTTTAGACCATGAGATTATTAAAACTAGCCAGGCATAACATGGTGGGATTTCAGTACATGTTGTCAGTTGTGCCAATTTCTCCTTCACAATGTCAATCTGAATCAGAAGAAAATAGCAAATGGCTAAAAGTTTCATTTGCTGCCAAAAAGACGTCAGAGTAAAAAGGGCATCATTTGGAAAACGAAGGGCGGGGGGGAAGAATAGCCCTTCCTTCTGTTAATACCATTTCTTAGGTTTAGGATTTGCAGAACAGTAGTATCCTTAAAGCAAATCTGCAGGATTTTCTTAACAACCCCTAACCCAAATACATGGCAGCTTTGTTAGGTGACATTACCAATGTCATTTCAGTAGTACCACTGGATACTTCCAACCAGTGTCACTCATTCAACAAAACATTTATGCAACCTTTCCTTGCAGCCAAGCACTGAATGTATATTGCAGGGATGCAAAGCCACATCGCCCCTTTCCTCAAAGAACTCTTGGTCTAGTATGAACCCGAGATGTCATCGTGACTCTGTGTCTTCAGCAAGGACAAGCACAGCAAGGAAAGCGCAGTAAGACAACTCAGGTGATTCTGCAGGTGGGGTGGGAATACTGCCTTTAACTGGCACTCCTATGTTTAGCACCCTCAGTAATGCTTTGGGGAAAATTTAAATCAAATTGAGTTTAGGTGGATCTTTCACAGGCTCAGTTCTGAGTAAACACGGGTGTGAGTTTTACATGCTACAGGGACCAGGTGGTGGCAGCTTTGGACCCAGGGAAATTGGTTATTTTAGTCCAGAAATTAAATTGGTTTGAAGAAATTATGCTAGTAAGGGGAAACATTATCTGGAGTCAGGCTGATAGCCTTTGAACCGCTTAACCTTTTAAATCCTGTTTTTTTATTCTGTATACATCATCAACCTAATTCTCATAAAGTAGGACTGTTTTAACGATTGGAAAAAAAGTATGCAACATACAGAATAGACATGCGATAAATGGCAGGTGAAAGAACTATTGGCATTTCACAGTTACCTCTGGAGACAGGACAAAGGTGCCTGGTCATCTGCAGTGTTTCAGGCGAGGACCTACAGAGAAATCACTGTGTCCAGGCCAGTGAGAAAGGAATCAGCTGCCACCTGGTGCAAGAGCCAGTCTGCTTGCAGCAAGTGCCAAGAGGCCCTAACCTGGAGGTGCAGTTCCACGTCAGGCTCTAGAGACAGGCAGCAAACCCAGTTCCAAAGTGTGCATGCAAGTGTGTGTTTGTGTGTGAAAGGAGGATGTACAGGGCATTTCTGTCTCAGTGAGCTCTGCAGTCAGACACTACAGCGATTCAGCAAACAGGGAGGCCAGCGGCTTTTTGTGGCAATAAAGAACTATTTGTTAAAAGGCCTTCTTGGTCCTTGCCTTTCTTCTCTTTTTTTTTTTTTTAAACTACATCCCAATACAACGGTCCTCTGTATTTTTCTTGGAATAAACTGGCTTCTGCACTAAAGGCAGGAAATGTCCCCTCAAGCAACTGAGGCTTTCTAAATATTAGTGACTGAAACTCGATTAAATATTTCTGTTTCTGTTCCCAGGCTCAAATTCCAAGAAAGCTTTTTTTTTTTTTTAAATTTTGTGTTGGGTTTGTCTTAAGTCATTCTGTACTTACAATCTGAGTAAGAGCTAAAATTCCCTGCAAATCTTTTAATTTTTTTTTAAAGATTTATTTTTATTATTTTTTTATTGGAAAGGCGGATATACAGAGAGGAGAGACAGAGAGGAAGATCTTCTGTCCGATGATTCACTCCCCAAGTGAGCACAACGGCCGGTGCTATGCCGATCCGAAGCCAGGAGCCTCTTCCGGGTCTCCCACACGGGTGCAGGGTCCCAAAGCTTTGGGCTGTCCTCGACTGCTTTCCCGGGCCACAGGCAGGGAGCTGGATGGGAAGCGGGGCTGCTGGGTTAGAACCGGCGCCCATATGGGATCCCGGGCGTGCAAGGTGAGGACTTAACCACTTGCGCCACCCCGCCGGGCCCTAATTTTTTTTATAAGACAGAAACATTGTCAGCTTTCAAAACATAGCAATGATTCCAGAATGTAACTGCAGGTTCTGTATCTTCAGATTCACCGTAGGAATGTTGTCAGCACTTCCTGTTTCAGCGCTTGTAGTCAACTTGCTGACCTCTTGCCACCTTTTCGTATAGTCTCATCTGTAATGTGCTAGCCCTTGCAACGTTCGCCTCCTAGGAAGACTACAAAATGACCTACGTTGGATTTCCCTCTGTATTGACTCCCACAGGCCACAGATGGATATTCTGGTGTCACCTGAAGTTCCAACAGACACATAAGCAACTCCAGATCGCTGATGTTCTTATTGCTACACGTCACTTTCACATGTCATTTTCTCCTGCCACTTAGAAAGTTGCCTTCTGTGTCGGAAGTCCAGGTGGGATACAGCTCAATCTAATCTGGTAGGAAGGTACACAGTTGCAACACATCTCCTAACATTC